CTTCGAACCCGGACTGTTGTAACCGGGAACGCGTGCTCTCACCACGCGGAGTCCAACGCTCTACCATGACTGAGCTACGGGACCGGCAAAAAACTTAAGAGGTATCTTGGTGAAACCGAAAGATAGACGGGGTCCACATCAGAATGCCGGTCTCGTGTACCAGTATGAGTGCGAGTGTGACCAGGTGTATATCGGGGAAACGGGAAGAAGCATTAAAACTAGGGAAAAAGAACACAAACGGGCTATTAGAAACATGGACGAAAATCATTCCGGTATTTCAAAACACGTCATAGACAAGTCATAGAGACGGGACATTCCATCGCGTGGGAGGGGGTCAAAATCCTGGCATTTGAGAGGGAGTGGAAAAAACGGAAGATAAAAGAGGGTATTTTCATTGACAAGGCGAGGGGGCGTGCGCTAAACACAAAACCAGGTGTTCCAGGCGCAAATGTATACCGTGTGTTAGACTGAAATGTGTGGTATTTTGTCATGTGCGTGTATTGTTATTGTGTGACGTGCTTGATGGTAGCGCGATCGAAAAGAAACAGCGAGAACTTTTTCAAAAAATATCCAGATGCGCCATTTTCGCTTTTTGTGGTGTCTAATGTAACTGTTCAATTTTATATGGATCTGTTTTAGTGTTTTGTACCAAGGCTGACGAAGAAAACTGCATAGCTTTCGAAAGCTCCCATTAAAGGGACCATCCCACCTTAACATTAGTTTTGAGTTGAGATAGCCAAGTTTGCGGCCAGGCTCAGAAACCACCATTTATCCTGGTCGCAAACCCCGCAGCTTTATGGTGTTCAAGAAATTTCTTCCCTTTACTTGCAGGGTGGGACCAGCTTAGTCCCTATCTCTTAACCATTAGCGGTTTTTTGATGACGTCAGCAGTCATTTCAACGCCCGCCATTCCTTGAACCCGAGTTTTGCTGACCTTGAGCTCCCTTCTTTATCAGCGTGAAATCCGTCGTCGGCGCTGATAGTATTCTATGACCGTGGGCGCTGAGAAAGCCTGTTGCTTTTCATTTTAATTTGAATATTAGAAGATACCCACCACTGGAACTTGGACTGATCTTATACCCAAGGCCATATATATACCAAGGCCGAAGATGATCAAGCTGCCTGCTCTGGAGCTTGGTGTTGAACTTTAACATGGAATAAAAAACAGAATATCAAAGCAAACTGGATATGGTACGCAAGTTAAAGTCCAAAGAAATTTGAAGAGCTGACAATTGACATTAATTCTTTTCCTGCAAGGCTTTCATATGGAGATCACACCATGAAGAAATATTTTTGATGTTAACAGTTGAAAGGGGATTGATCTTCCAGTTTTGACGAAAGACGCTGCTGACTGTCTTTGGAAAAGGATGTCGGCATGAGGTGCAATTGTGCTTGTGAAGTGGTTATAACTGGTCTTTTCACAGTTTTAAATTAAATGTGTCATTGCAGCCAAGTGTGTTATCATGTAAGGGAAAATCAAAACTACAATGTTGGTTTCACGAGCATTGAGAAGGCTGGTAGGTAACATCTGCCTGTGCTCGTAAATCATGCTGCCAAAGTATTCTAAATTAATTTTATCATACACTTTTGTTGTCCAGAATGGTTGCACTATTGTTTGGTATTATATTATTCCATGTAAATATGGTAGTGTAAAGTCCGACCAACATGTTACCAGATTTGAAGCTGTTACGTTACCTAAGTACCTGTTTTTTACTGGCGTGGTGAATGTCACTTGGATTTTGTTTTGAGGTGCAGACCTAGTAACTCTGACTACATGGGTTTGAAGCTATTATATTATCTATTCTGTTTTTACTGGCCTGGTGAATGGCGACTGATGTCTGTGGATGGCACTGAAAACAAATTTTGAGTGTCATGTACAGTGTTTTATTTTAATACAATGCTGAGGGCTGAAAGTTGTCTTGTTTAGAGTGGTGAAAGTTCAGGATATGCCAGCCACCATGGTGGGTCAGAGTTAATGTGTTGCAGTCAGTTCGGCTTCGGCAAGCACACGGATGGGCATACGCATGAATACCTGCTCTGCCATACTTTCAGCCAATTTCACCTGGGTAAGTCTTTTCTTTTTTTCTGCCAAAAGCTATGACATTGTGAATTTCAGTGCTGTGGGCTGTGTGTAGCTTTCAGGAAAGCAATTCTAAATAAAGCTCTGATAAAGTGCAAAATCAGCAATGCAGCCCTCTAATACATTTTCTACAACAACTTACTTGTTCCTTGCATGGAGAGAAAAATGCAATGTTATGAATTCGTTTATTCACATAATTTGACAAGCATGCAGTTACCTGCTACTATCACTGCAGAAAACATCAGTTGATCAAACACAAGACACAACAGAAGTTTACAACATAGGGCTGCCGAACCTGCTTCCTCCCACCACAGTTGATGCCATTTCCTAGCCTGGCTTGATGTGACCACTGAATAGCTGCTTTGTCTAATTACAGCTCACTACCATTCAACTTAAACAGCTCTCTTTAAAGTAAGAGTGAGAGCGTTCAGTGTTCATAGCAGCTCGACAGACGACAGACAACAAACATCTTGACAAACCAACCAGTTTTTGATTTGGCTAATGATTTATGTGCTTGTTGTATCATGGCCAAACTACTTTAACAGCAATAATCCCTGTTTCATCTTGATCTTGCTTTTATTTCCATTTGAACTCAGATCTTGAAACAATCATCTGAAGTGATATCAGATACTGGCTTCTGTTTCTCTTGAAAGCAAGTTAAAACAACAATGATAAACTAACGCAGGAGATGTGAGCTGTGGCAGTAGATTTTTGATTCAACATATGTCAACCTTATATTGCTTGAGACCTCTGTGACAGACAAACAAATATTTATAGTTTTTTGATTGTTTGGATTCTTGGCTTGATTTAGCAGATCAGCTGTGAACCTTGACTTTGAAATCACATAAATGTCATGGTACCCGAACGAATCCTCGCATGACATTTCTTCGTAGCACAATTCTTCGTCCGCATTTCTTCGTCTACAAATCTTCGTCGGTGCATTTATTTGTCCCTCAATGCTTACTCTTGCATATATTTGCGTTGAAGAAGAAATGCGAGCCGATTTTCATATACCCTGATGCGAGACAAAGTAATGCGATACGAATAAATGCCCTGACGAAGATTTGCAGACGAAGAATTGCGATACGAAGAAATGCCATAAGAAGAATTGTCCTGGAATCCAAGGCCATCTAAAGAAGGTACAGTCACTCCCCCGCCGACCAATCAGAGACAGATCCTGAGTGACGTCACCCCTGATGCTCGCAAGGGGTACTCCATTCCTTTGCAACGTAAAAATGACGAACTTCATTTGAAGATTATTGATGGCACTCTACACATACCGCTCAGCCGTTGATGTCAATGGAAAGCCCAACTAATTCTCCAGCGACAAAAAAGAGCAGCAATATGCTAAGAAATGGCCGGTTTTGAAGATATAGACGATTTAAAAACTCTCTGCAGCAGCAGGAAAGCAACGTAAAAACGCATCGAGCTCATATTTTTACTATGGATAAATCATTTTTCAGTAAGTTTTCAGATATGGTATAGATTTAAGTTACAACTTTATTACAATATTTTCATTACTTGAAACTTTATTTCAAAATAATATTTTAAAAAATGGCAGCTGTTGGCAAGTAGCTTGGGAGCGATTGTGGCGCACTGCGCCATTAATTGTCCTGAGGCCCCCTTATGATGTCATCAAAAGTGGAGTGACATGGGCCTGCTGGAATCCTTCATTGGCCATCATATATTGACCTTGATAAGATAAACGCATCATTCGCGCAATATTTGTCGCACTTTGATACCAAACTATTGCTTCCAAATGCCGACGTAGAGAAAACCTTTATGTGACGTCATAGAAACAGCGGAGTTCCCAAAAAGTAAACAAAAATAAAAGTCTTATATCTCGAAAACGGGTGAATATTTTCCGGTAAAATTTGGTAGATGTTCATTTTCGCTCTTTGTGATTCACGCTACATCACTTTTATGCCAATTCATTAACTTTTTTGAAGGTGGGAGGGTCCCTTTAAATAAAGTAATAGCTGGGCCCTGTTCATGAACCCCGGCGGTCGCTGCGGCCGCTGCGGTCGCTGCGGCCGCTGCGGTCGCTGCGGCCGCTGCGGTCGCTGCGGCCAGCCGGGTTGTTACGTCACAAAAAGGGGCGGGGCTCATGTAGTATGACGAATGTATGACGTCACCTTGCTGCGGCCGCTGCGATCTCTGCGGCCGCAATCCAGCGACCGCCGAGCCGCAAGAAAGTAATATACAAATTGCACTGAACTTGGCGCACTGAAGTCAAAGTGTAGGCTGTGTTGCCATGGAGACGATGTTATAAACAAATTCATTCCGTCCGGTGTTGCATGCCATGATACCTAAAAATTAGATTAATGCTTTAATATGAGATTTAATTTTAGACTTAAGTTATTTGTGCTACGATTTAATGAAAACAATACCAAATCATTTATGTGACCCACTTACAAAAATACAGAAACACCAGACGGCCTTGAGAAACGCCCTTTTCATCACAAGAATGGAATACACAGATAAAAGAAGCGCGTGGAAACTATTGATTAGTAATCGTCTCAAGCGCGCAATTATCGGAAACTGTTTCGGCAGCTGACGGTGTTCATGGAACGCTGCTGCGGCCGAGTGAATGATGACGTTTCAAAAGTGGGCGGGGCTTAGAACCTGCGGCCGGCCGCAGCGACCGCAGACTTCATGAACAGGGCCCTGGTGTTCAATTATGTCTTCTATAACTATGCAACCGTCCCAGCTAAATAACAATATTTACAATTAGAATAAACAATAAGTTTTGGTGGCCTCTCTTGCAGGTAAGTAATCATTGGCTTCAAAAGTACAAACTTTAAAAGCACCCATCGTGCTTTGTGGATGGTGCTGTTGTAGGTGTTGGGTCATAACACGGCCTTCAGCTCCCAGTAGCCCCATCACGGCACCTCACAATGTCTTTGCCACTCTTGCAGGCGTGCGGCGGCATGGCGGAGCCTTTGGTGGCGCCGTCGCCACCACAGCAGCAACATGAAAACGTTAATATCACGCAAGTGTTCAGTCCAGACGAGATCTGGGCGACTCCTTCGTTTACCTCCAGGTGAGCGCGGGAATCCTACCCTTCTATCACATCCTTTTTGTTCGGCTGATATTCTCATGTGCTTGTGTTCTCGTTTTGATTTAATTGCATGTGTTTGGCCCCTTAAAAGCATCACATTTTCGGCTGTAATCTGCAAAGCATGGCAATTTTGACGAGATCTCGTCGGTGTGACCTCAATGTGGATTTTCCGCGGATTGATACGGAATTATCTGATGTTATGCGGTTGTTGCGTGAATGGGCGTGAGCCCTACTGTGATTGTGCACCCACAAACCGTCAACAACAATGTGGCCGTGCTGACCTGACGAATAATGGCATGGCGGTGACGGGACTCTGTCCGAGATAATCCTAAATTTGGCAAAGATGTCGGACACTCGTCGATGGCCGCTGTCCCAAGGTCAACGGTTTGACCTATGTACAGATGGCATGGACCGTCAAAATGCGTAGACTTTTGCGCGGAATAAGTTTTTTTTTTTCATTACGGAGCGAGCGAAGCGAGCGGACGTAGATTAACGGAAATTTCTGAGTATGAGCGGCCGGCCGGCCGGCCGTGCGGACGCTTTTGCGAGGCTTATATCTCAGCAACCACTTGACCGATATACTTGCGGGAATTTTTTTAGGGTAGCTTCATTCTTTCTACCAAGTATTGGACTATTCCCGATGTATGTGGGTGACCCCTTTGCACGTGCCACGTGCAAAGCGAAGAGGTGTCAGTTTTGTAACAATTGCAATATTTCGGTAACTACTGGGCCGATTGCGCTGAAACTTGGCATGTAGGTAGGCACTCACTAGGCAATGCATATCCATGTGCCAGAGTTGGGGTGCTGCTGCACGTGCGCACGTGCAGGGGTCGTTTCCAGATCTGGAGAACGGCTGGACCGATGGCGCTCAAATTTGGTACACGGTTAAGGACCAGTTAGTAGGGTGTCGTGCACAAGTCAGTTGGGACCCATTTTGCACGTGCGCACGTGCAGGGTACCGCTTCCAGATCTCGAGAACGGCTGGGCCGATTGTGCTCAAAATTGGCACATCGCTAGAGACCGGTTAGTGGGGTGCCGTGCGCAAGTCAATTGGAGGTAGCCCCTCGAAATTTCGCACGTGCAAGGCTCGCCCTCTCGCTCGCTCCGTTAGTCGCCCCAAAAGGCGTTTTACTGGCTAGTATTTTATAAAAAGCTGGGATTAGGGTGATAGGGATCACACATTTTTAGTAAACGTCTCAACAACAAAGTTTTTCTGCTTGTCATGATCGAAACACGAATGATTTGATAAGTAATTCACCGAGTAGGGTAAAAATCGCGTTATTTACTGAAAGAATGTGCAGCATTGACGGGGCATACAAAGTTCCGATGGTATATCTAGAAAGCAATTTGATGAAAACGAATTTAAAGCTGTGGACGTTTTTCTGGACCACCGTGTAAATGTTGTATGGTACGGACGCTGTGGACCGGGACGTACCATCATGACTGTGATCGTTGTGTGTTTTTTGGTAGGTTTCTGTACCTGGAGCAGGAGATGGTGACCACGTGCGCGCAGCAGAGGCACCAGCTGAAGGCGGAGCTGCGCGTGCGGCCCGGAATGGTGAGTGGGCACCAGCCGCGCCGCCGCTCCCAAATCACGGGAGTCAGCGGCAAAATGAATGCGCTTTGTGTTCATATGGATGCATCATGTAACACGTGTGTGTTCTCGTGCCCAGAGCGGGGCACTTCGTGTTGTTGGCGGTCCTCGTCAGAGACGACGGTCTTCCGGTCGAGTTGTATTTGAGCAGCACAACACAGAGCAAGGCGATCGGCTACGGTGTCGGCACACGGAGCAGATGGTACACGTCCGATGGCTCCGGGACTCGGGGGTCTTCTCACACAAGCACGCGGAGCGGATGGTATTGCGTCCAACGGCTGTGGAGTTCGGAGGTCCCCTCGAGCGAGAGAGAACACGTCCGACGCCGATGATGGCTCTAGGTCTTCTGCCATTCCCTTTGCCGGGGAGCTCTCGGCTCGGCTCACCCCGACCTAGTTCCTACCACATACTAGAATATAAAAATATCCTGCGTGACGGCCCGCTATTGGATTAAAACATATTCGCTTTGAGACTCGTCTCGTGATTGGTTATTACTATGTCACCGCCCCTCGGCCCTCTGGTAGCTCTCAGAAGACACGTGTCAGATGAGTTGCCAATCGTCACGCGCTGGCACCGTGGTTGAGGGGGGCGTAGCACGATATCGTTCTAAGGAGCGCGTCAGAAGCATTGGTGGACATTAACCAGGTCACTATTCTGCGCGGGCCGGCATGAATGACGGATGGCGGGCGTCAGGCTGGCGCGACTCAGCGGCACCGTCGTGGCGGGCTGGAGACAATGGCTGCGTTCGATGTCTTCTCGGACGAAGAACATTCTACGCAGAATATTCTATTTTGCGTTCGATGAAGCACACAGGCGGACGACGAGACCGGCTATTTTGTGCGCCACTTACACAATGTGCGTCAGTTTCGAAAAAGGTCCAAGTTTACGTTTCCATAGAGACCGCGCACAAATGTCAACAACTTCTGCAAACAGCTGCTGCGCCGCTTTTGAAATACGCGCCACCATTGCCTCTCTGCCCACCGTAGTACGCTCAAAAGATTCTGCGCGGACGACGAAGATTCTACGTGACGTCACGTAGAATCTTTGCCGTCCGTGCGACATCGAACGCCATTTCGGGCCCGGACGGCATATAATCTTTGCCGTCCGGGAGACATCGAACGCGGGGTATGAGTCACACATGGATAAACTATGACGCGTCGTTGGGCCGACCGCGGGGTCAGCTGCGGTGAGCTGAGTGCGGGCGGAGAGCGGTAAAGGTAACGAGCGTTAAAAATGCGGAAATGAAATATGGCCACCACTCAGGTATAACTGCAGGTTGGTTTGAAATGGACAAACACTATTCGTTAGAATTGTGTTTTTCTATTGAAAAACAACCGGAGCAGTCCTTCACCGGGCTATGTTTTCCATTCTTGGCAGCGAATCGAGACATCTTGACCGGGGCCTAAACGAAGGATCAGATTTTCATAAAAATTTCAGGGTATGGGCTCCTGGAGGTGATCTACCTGATGGCACCGGTCGCTGCTCGATGTAAAATCTGTGAAAAGTGGTACGTGCGTTTCATTTTTTCCATGTTTAGTCAACGGGGATCTGGACACTTTTTGCGCGATCGCGAATGGTGGAGAAACGAAGATTTTGAGGGGTGGTTTTAATGCAATTATCTTATGGCAAACACGTTCAGGCATCTATTGGTGTGTACTGTATCCCCGTCAAAACCTCGGAACGTTTCTTTGCATGATGTCAAAGTTGGAATTATGCCTTCTCCCATGTTAGGTAAACGAATGGGCAGTTTTGCAGGGTCATATTCATTCGCTTGTTGTAAAAATGTGATCAGAGGGAATGGATTCACCCCTTCACAGGTTATTGGGAGGAGACCATAGTACATGCCAGTATGCTTCTTTAAGCTAAGCAAATTCTTGTTTTCTGATAAAGTTCGTCTGAAATTAACAATTTTTAACATGGAAAATGAATGAGAGTATCTTTGCTGTTTTATAACTCTTTACATTTCAAGCATACTAGAGTGAAAAATTCATAAATTGTGCAACTTGTAATGCTCCTTCTAATGACGTATAGATCGTAACCGCACATTGCACCTTTTTTGAGAAAAGTAGTAAAAAAGGCAGGTCTCGACCGGGATTTGGACCCAGTCACGATTGATATACAGGAGTGACTAAGTGACAGTGGCAAGAGTAACTCAAGCCGCCCATCCGCGTTCCTCTGGTAGCTCAGTTGGTAGAGCGGTGGACTGCAGCTGTATACGTCAGACAATTATGGGTCGCTGGTTCAAACCCAGTCCGGAGGATGTTTTGAAAATGAGACTGCGCTGCCGTCTTATATGCCGCCTCGTTTAAGACGGCATTCACGTGCAGTGTGCACTGGGTAGACGCGATGTGATGTAATGTAATTCCTGATGACCTGACTGATGTGGTTTGCTTGGAATGTTTCATTGGGCGGTGACTTCGGACCGGTCGGTAATTTCTCAGATTGGTTCGTCGGGTGCAGCCGGGTGTTCGAGCTTCGCCCACCTCTCCCCTCCCTCGCCGCCCGGCGGGTCAGCCGTCCACAGCCGATATCACTCAAACTTAGCACACCGCTAGAGAACGGTTAGTACTAGTAGAGTGTCGTAAACAGCTCATTTCCTGCTTCCAACGGCCCCTGATGCGTTTCTGCGTTTTTTTTTCAAACAACCTGCGGTCCGGCGATGCCAAGCATTGCCCCTTGGCCTAATTAGACTGCGAACTAATTAACCCTCGCCGGCCGAAGGGGGGGGGGTGCCGCCCCCCCATAGGGTTTTTTCGCGATAGCTCCGAACACGCTGGCGATAGAGAGCTGAAACTTGGCATGCCTGACCTTTGATCCAAGCCGGATCTTTTGACACCAACCGCATTTTTGGGTCAGGTCAGGTCACTGACCTATGACGTCATAAGTGAACCTCTGCACGGTCTTCAGATGTCGCAAATTCGCAACGCCCTCACTGCCAGGGGAGATGTCACAGGGAAATGAAACTTGCAGGATCTAGTATCCATTATGAGTCCCACAACTTGTATATCTCGGATTTTTCCTAAAGGTCATATGAGGTCAGGTCATTTTCGTGACCTCACCATTACCTATAAGTCAATGGGGAAAAATGAAAACTGCTATTCTGGCGCCGGGAACGATCTCCAACTATCTCAAGCTTTCACCGCTTTCACCGCATCGGCCGCCGACCGTCGCCTGGATGCGAGCAGTGCGGCTCCGTGAGGTGCCCGGCCGCGTTGTGCCGTGTGTGCCGAGAGGAGGCCGACACTCCACGGCACGTCCTGCTGCGCTGCCCGGCGCTGGCGGGACGCCGCCTGGCACGAGTGGGCACAATCCACCCTACGGTGACCGAGCTACAGGACGACGGCGTGGTGGCGGCCTTGGCCGCCGGCTTTCGAGCCCAACTGAGCCGTCTGGCTACGCCCCCCCCCCTAGGGGGGGGGGGGCGGAGGGAGCAACAACAACAACAACTATCTCAAGCACACAGAATCGTGATTTGATGCACTCCTTGCAAGGCTAGATGCGTCACTTTTCCAATGTTGACCTTGCGTGACGTCATTTATGACATCATCAAGGTCATATTAGTTTTTCGTCAATAACTCTTGATCAAATTGAGCTAGCGAGTCGGGAAAGCCACCAATGGACTCAGGAAGACCTGCCGAATCGAATGATATGCGACATGACCTCTTTCGACCAACTTCGTGACCTGGGGGTGCTGACCTGACCTTGACCTGAGGTCAACACCCCAAGTTGACCTGACCCGGACAAAAAGTATATCATTCGACGCGCCTGCGTGAGACGAACACGATGCTGCCAAAATCGGCGCTTTGCGGCCGTTTTTTGCGAAGTTATTCACCAAAAACTGAACCGTACCTTGGGGCACTTGACCTGACCTCAGAGGTCACCGGTTGACCTAGGACCTTAAAATCGGGTACCAATCTCTGCGTCTCGTAACGGCGCACACGCTCGTTTTTTTTCTGCGACGCGCTAGCTCCACCAGGGGCGGAACGGCGAGGGGGGGGGTCATACCCGCCCCCCCCCCTCGGCCGGCGCGTATGTAGAAAACCAATAGGTCCGGCGAGGGTTAAGCCTACACCCATAAAAATATAAACAACGGGCAGTGCCAGGCGATGAGGGTAAACAAATAATTAGACACACACTTTACAATCATGCATACGTGTAACTTCTCTGAGCGTGCCAGTATGTAATGGGCATGTGACTTTGTGGTGCTGGTATTTGTACTGTATGCATACTGTATAAGATAGTGTGTCAGTGTGTCGACCCGTGTCTCCAGGTGTGCGTGTACCACCGGGCGGCCACCGACCGTTGGTACCGGGTGCGCGTGCTCACTCGGTTCCGGCGCTCCGTCGGACCCTGCTGCCAAGTGCAGCTCCTCGACTACGGCGAACAGCAGGTCAGTGATGACTGGTGGCGGGCAGATAGATTTGTTGATGGGGGCATTACAAAAGAGTAAAATTGGAATTTCTCCTCGAGGTCACTTCCGGAATCTTTCACATGGTTTTCCTGTCAGCCACCCAATGATAATACACCTTTGTATTTGTAGTTCGAATACACGTTTGTATTGGGGTAAGAATGCGATAACTCCATGCCGTTTTCTTGTTAGTTTTAGCCCGGTGTTGGCCACTGGGACACTACACCGACATGTTACGCCATATCAGTCAGACGTTCAGATTCAAGCCTCAGATTCAACTGACTTGTCGTCTCAGTGTCTGCCTACAGACTGTGTTTCACGGCCCTCTGCCGACTGATGACTCTGCTTTTGTATACGGTCGGCACGGGACGTCCCTCGGCCGACTTTTGATGCCGTCTCTGTCTCTGTATACGGTCGGCACGGGACGTCCCTCGGCCGACTTTTGATGCCGTCTCTGTCTCTGTATACGGTCGGCACGGGACGTCCCTCGGCTGACTGCTGTTTCCGTCTCTGTCTCTGTATACAGTCGCCACGGGACGTCCCTCGGCTTACTGCTGTTTCCGTCTCTGTCTCTGTATACAGTCGCCACGGGACGTCCCTCGGCTGACTGCTGTTTCCGTCTCTGTCTCTGTATACAGTCGACACGGGACGTCCCTCGGCTGACTTGTCTCCGTCTCTATCTCTCTGTATACAGACGGTGCTGGACGTGGACCTATACCGCCTGCCGGAGCCGTACTGCGACCTCAACCACCTACCGGCCCAGGCGATCCGTATACGGCTGGCCGGGCTGTGTCCCATGCAGCTGGGCTTCGTCGTCAGCGACCAGGGCGCGGTGCTCGGAACGATGGAGTACGTACCTACGGGGGACAGCCCTGTCACCTGAACAGCGCCAGGGATCGTCGGCAATCGGTGTTACTGGGGAGATGTGGGGCGCCTGTCGGGGATGGGGGGTGGGTTACCGCCTACATCTGAGGAAAGCGTCCGCATGGGAACACTGCCCCATTACTTACCGGGGAAGGGTCTTGTCTGGAAAGCAACCTTCCTGTATATTGGTGAACGAGCTGCGCTCAACATTGTAGATGTATACTTCAATTGTAGAACATTATGCTGCAGTGGTGAAAAAGTTTCGATATTTGTCGTACGTGGGTGGTGTATCACTCTCGACTCTCATGTTCCGCCCAGTCACGTTCTCAGCCCACTGACGTGTGTCTGTTCGGTGTATCCCAGGCGGGCCAGCCGGTGGTCGGAGGCGGCCTGCGCTCTGGTGCGCCGTCTCCTGACGCCCGGTACGCCCTGTCGGCTCGAGTGGACCCGCTGCAGCCGCGCCGGGGTGCGCCACGGCCGACTCCGCGTGCTGGGAGACGCCGAGGCCGACATCGCTCAGCGACTGATCGCTGAACAAGTGGCGCAGGCCAGGCCCGAGCACGGTGAGGGACGGTACACGCGCGCCGCAGTGTGAGAGGAGGCATCACTGGTCGTCTGCCCGTTACCCGTTACTCTTACTCCTGGTTGGACATAAGTATTAATATTTTTGTCTCCCTTTGAGGTTTGAGCACTACATTTCTGGTTTCGTCTTCAAATTCAGCTATTAACCATTAAGTCAAAGCCACTTTTTCGATTGATGTTTGCCACCTACTGAATTTTTAATATCGTGGTTCCTGCTAGCGTGCCTGACCTATTCACTATCAGTATCCAACCCATAAGCTATTTGTGCCACTCATGTTCCACTCCTGTGCGCCCGACTGACTCTGCACGGTGCCCACAGAGCCATCCTCCTCTTCCGAGTGTGACGAGCCGAGTCTGGTGACGGAGCCGGCGCCCCTGCGGCACACCGAGGTGGTGCTCGACTCTGACGACTCGTCCGAGCCGGACGGACCGCCGCCGGCCCGGCCTGACACCGGCGCCGCGGCGGCGGACTCGGCTGTGTTCTGGGCCGAACAGCGCCGCGCTGAGGAGGAGTTCCACCGGCTGCAGCAGCAGCAGCGGAACGAGACGGCGGTGAGTGCTAGCAAAGGGATCTTGGGCGGTGAGGTGCCCGGACACGCACTTATTGATGTGTTAATATGCTGTCTGGCGCTGCTGATCTCTACAGTATTCCGGGTGCCTTGCAATCTAGGAATTTAAAATAATAATCCTTGTCATCAACTCTAGGCGTTTAGGCCCTTCCTGGTGGCCTATAGCTTCTAATTAGGTATTTCTCCTACGAAAGGATAATCTTGAATCTATTCGCTTATTCTATCTGCCAACATGCCCTATCAGTCTATCACCTTGTTGTGATTTCACTGCATGTTACACTTAAACTACGGAAGCCTCGTGCAACCTGCCGTGCCAGACTGAATTCATTTTCTGTGCGGTGTATTAACGATTGGAACGGGCTTCCAGCAGAAATTGTACATTCGCCCTCAGTTAACGTCTTTAAGAACAGGCTGGATGCGCACTGGGAGTCGATCTGGTACTCCACTCCTGTAACAGACTGAGTACTAAGTGAAGTTATGGAAATCGGCGAGAACGGGCCCTACAGGACATCGTGCCTGTTGCCCCGATAACACGGAGATGAAGATGAAGATGAAGATGTTCGTGGGTTTGGGAAGTGCGGGACGGCGATGGCGGGCGCGGCCGTAAAGTGCACCCGGAAAAACCGTATTTGGGAAGGATGGAGATGGGTCGTCCATAATGACCACAGCTGTGTCGTGTGCTTACACGTGCCCGTGCACTGGTGTGACCTTGCTGACACGTGCCCGTGCACTGGTGTGACCTCCAGGGCGACTCTACCGACCACGACGACAAGCGCAGTCGGCTGCAGCGCAGGCTGATGGGACTTCTGGTGCCTGAAAACGCCTCTGCTGGCGACCAGGGCACCCGGCCTTCAGTGCAGCCGCCACCCGCCAGCCAGGTTAGTGGGCATTCAGTGCAGTCGCCACTCGCCAGCCAGGTTAGTGGGCATTCAGTGCAGCCGCCTCTCGCGAGCCAGGCTAGTGTACTCGTAGTGGTTGGCTTATAAGCTCAACATTCATATTCGAATGCTCAATACTCGTATATTCAAGGTCCGTTGTGCGCAGCCAGACTGATGTGTTGTGTCTGACCTTAATTCTGACGGCTGCCTCTGTCTGTTGCAGTCGCCCGGTGTGGGAGTGCTCAGTGGAACCGTCCGCGCGCCCCTGATGCCGGGCCGGGGCCGCGGCGCGCTGACTTCCCCCCAGATACCGGCTCCGGGCGTCCGGGCGCCCACCACCTCCCCGAGCCCGGAGCCAGCCGAGACGTCCGGCGCCAGCGACCTGGCGGCGGCGCTGCGCCAGCTGCGCAGCGAGTCCAGCTCGGCGGACGAGGCCGGCCGGCCGTCCCCGACCCTGCTGCCGGCCGGCCAGACCTCGTCGGCCCGTATGGCGGCCCAGCGGAGGGCGGCCGACGAGCAGCGCCAGCGACAGTATGAGGCCCGGCTGCAGCGCCGCGCCGGCCGCGCCGCGCCGCCGGAACGAGCTGAGACTGTCCGGCCGAGTCTGTGGGGTGACCAGCTGAGCCCACGAAACGCGCGGCCGAGTCCGTGGGACGGCCAGTCAGGGCCGTACGATCCGCAGCCGAGGTCGCCAGACTCCCAGCTAAGTCCGCAGGCCGCTCAGACGAGACCGTGGGACGACCAGCCGAGTCCGCGGGCCGCGGAACCTAAACCGCAGGACCTCCAGCCGAGATTGCAGGACTCCCAGCCCAGACAGCAGGCCACTCAGCCCAAACCGCAAACCGCTCAGCCAAGACTAACTGATGCCCAGCTGATAACTCAAGATGCCCAACCGAGATCACAGGCCGCTCAAGCGAGTCTGCAGGACTCACTGTCAAGTCCGCGAGACGTCCAGCCAATTCTGAAGACGGCCCAGCCAAGGCCGCCTGCTGTCCAGACGAGACTTGGGGACGCCCAGTCAAGTCCCTGGGACGTTCAGCCTAAACCGCAGGCCGCCCAGTCGATATTGAAGACGACCCAGCCAACACAGTTGCGGCAAGCGGCCAACGCAGCACCGCAAGCCCCACAGGCGGGGCGCGCGGACGGGCTGAAATCCAAGATTGACGCCCACCAGCCCATTCCTGACGGGCTGGGCCCTCGGACGCCACCGACGGCGCCGGGCGGACCGATCGGAGACAGCCCGCTCCAGGAGAACTCACCACAGTCGCCCGCCGTCCCTGAGCAGCGCCGCTCCACCGGCCGGTTCGAGCGTGTGTCGGCGGCCGTGTGGCGGCAGCGTCTGCTACGCCAGGCCGCGGGGACGCGGGCCAGTGCGGACCAGAGCGCCACAGCCTGTCCGGGCCAGAGCGCCACTGGGCCTGCGGAAAAAACCAAGGGCGCGGCTGGACCATCGGGGGATGGCAAAGTTGGACTACCGCCAGAGGAAACGAAGTCACCAGACCATCAGACCAAGCCGGCTGGGCTAACAGAGAACACGAGAGCTTCAGTTGGACCATTTAAGAACACCAAACTTGTCTCTGAACAGTCGGTGGACATCAGGGCTACGGCGGGACCGTCAGGGGACATAGGACACATACCTGGACCACCTGAGAGCACCAAACCGGTCTCTGGGCCCGCAGGGGACGCCAGAGTTACGACTGGACCTCCGAAGAATGCTACATCGGAAGCACTTCCGCCGTCAGAGAGTAGGATGCTTGCAGCAGCAGCTGCTGGTCTGTCAGCTAGCAGTATAACAGCTGGACCTTCAGAGAGACTGAAACCTACCACGGGACCACCAGAGGACACCAGAGTCAAGGCTGCACCATCAGGAGCTGCTAAACCCCCTGAAGCGCCATCTGAGGACGCAGCAGCAGTACCTGACCCGACATATGCGTTTTTGCCTTTGGACGGCAGTGCACAAGCGTCTGGTCCATCCGACCCTGCGGCAGGTGTACCCTGCGGCAGTGCGGGTGCCGGCGGCTCGCCGCTCGGCCGACCGGGCTCCATGGCTGAGAAACTGAGGCGTCTGGTACGGCAGCGGGAGCGCCCGGCCGCCAGCCCTGCGCGGGGTGCATCGGCGACCTCGGCTACAGCCGACCTGCCGCAACCGGTCCCGACGACCAGTGGTGTTGGTGGCACGGACAGCTCTCAGGAGGCAGGCCAGTCAGTCGAGGCTGGACCGCTAGTTCAGGAGACAGCGGTGTCAGTGGAAACTAGGCTGCCAGTTGAGGCCAGGCCGTCAGGCCAGGAGACGGCTTCATCAGGGAAGACTCGACTGTCAGTGGAGGCTGCGGCATTAGTTGAGGCTGGACCGTCAGTTGATTCTAGGCCGCCAGTTCCAGAGACTTGGCCGCCAGTTGAGCCTAGGCCGTCAGCTGAGGCCGGAAGGTCAGTCACGGCTGCGATGTCGGTTGAAGCTAAACCCGCGCTTCAGGAGACTTGGCCGTCAGTTGAGGCTAGGCCGTCAGTTCAGGAGGCGGCACCATCAGTTGAGACTAGACTCGTGGCTACATCAGTTGAGACTAGACCCGTGGCTGAGGAAACTTGGCCGTCGTTTGATGATAGACCGTCAGTTCAGAGCACTGAGTCCTCAGCTGGGGTCAGACCGTCCGTTCCAGAGACGGCGTCATCAGCAGCTCGACCCGTCGTCCAGGAGAGTTGGCCGTCAGTTGAAGTCACACCGTCAGCTCAGAAGACGGCGCCGCCAGCTGAAGCCCGACCCGCGGCTCAGGAGGCGCTGTCGCCCGGACAGAACCAGGCGCCAGCTGATGTAACCTCCCCTCCGGCGTCTGACGGCAGTCAACGACGAACACCAAGACAGTCGCACCTGCTGCGACTACTGGAGATGAAGAAACTTCGGAAATCATTGAGCCCGAATAGGCCGACTGATGCGACTCCGGCCGGTCAGGCCGAGTCAGCTCCAGCTCCGGCTGAGCCAACGTCAGCTCCGACCAAGACAGCACCAGCTACAGCAGGACTATCGTCCCCTCCAGATGACCCATCACCAGTGTCGGCGGGGCCAGCACCAGCTCCTACTCTCCGTGCCGCAGTACCGGCCCCGGTTAGCTCATCGCCAGCTCAGGTCGCCTCACTGCCCGCCACGCCCAGTCCGTCGTCAGCTCCGGCCGACGCGCTGCCGCCTCTGGCAGGATTGTCGCCACCTCTGTCCAGCCCAGCACCAACTGCAGGTGCTGCTGTTGCCGTCACGACCGTGGCCGCTGCAGTGGCCGGCACCAAGGGTCCTGCTGCCGCCGCTGCAATCCCTGTCGTTGATGTTGTTACTCCCCATGCCGGTGCTGAAGCGGTTGCTCCTATGTCTTCCGCTGCTGCCGTCGCCAAAGTTCCTGTTCCACCACCCTCTGCCGCGTCTGAAGAGCGTCGCTCGGACGCGGCCGGGCCTGAGCGGCCGGCTCCGAAAGAGTCACCCAAGGAACCGCCGGCACCGCCTCCGCGAGCCACCGCCAGCACCAGGTCAGAGCTCTCGCCGCCACGCCGAACCGCACGGCTGCTGGCCTGCTGGCATGTGTGGCGGCTGCTTACGTACTAGCACGTACTAGTGTGACCCTGCATCCCATAGTCTTACGACGAAGTTTGTCAGAGGGCAGGCTAGCTAATAAATGAACTAGATAGCCGTGTGTGTTAGCTGAGTGATAAACAGGGTCGGAGTGTGATAGCGAAGGGGGAGGGGGGGGGGGGGCATTGCTGCTTTGCGGAAAGCTCCACAACGACTAAATAGTGCTCTGCGTGCTTTGTTGACTCATTTAGCTCAAGAGCCTCAACAAAATTTCTCGGATATAGGAGTCGAAGGAATAAATTTATGCTTGTTCGTGCTGTGACATATTCTGGCTTCAGCATGGAAAAATCGCATTCTTTTGGCAAATTTTGGTCAATTATCGAACTTCCCTTTGCTATGGCGCTGGAGTCGGCATAGAGTAAGACTGCCCCCCCCCCCCCCCCCAACTGCGCTTGGTGACGCGTGCTGGACACTGGTAGATTGTGGGTTAAGCTCATGAAGGCGATGGAATTTTTGTGGTGTTACGTCAGGGACTTTTACGGGGCGAATTTGGAGACACTCATGTTTACACAGGATTGGTAATATTCAGCCCTGTCCTGTCCTGTGACTGATGATGTCGCGCTATGTCCTCCTCTGTGCCTGATCCTATCGTGCTGTATCCCTCAGGCCGTCACTGGAGCACCTGATGACCTGTAGTGAGCTGCGCGACCGGCCCGCCCCGCCGCGGCCGGCCGCCGACGCCGTCGGCCGCTCTGACTCGGCGCTACTGCGGGTGCTGGTCCACGGCCGCCGCCGCGTGGCCCCCTACTGGCGCACTGAGCAGATGCCATTCGCCGATATGGTGATGCAGGTGGGTTCGTCCGACCGGCAGCGCCACCACCATGCCGCGTGCCCGTCTTTCTGTGTGTAACCTGCCTGCCTGGGCTTCTTACCGTGAGACATATAACAATCTGAAACGAAACTCGATATCAGGATGGTATATAACCTTAATCGCAAAAATGATTGTGAGTGCTTAGTTTTCACCGGTTATCCCCATTCCGCCTAATCAGCTATTATCTTCAGTTCGGATCAGCAGCTAATTATCCGTTCCGGTTCGTCCGATCTGTCCAGTTATGTCCTGGACTTTTTCTTTACTCCTGTCCGTCCGTTTATCCGTCCCGTCGCCTGACCCGGTTCTGCGACTCCGCGCCGTCCCGCAGAAGCTGTGCCCGATGTTCCCCGTCCGTTCTTCTCTCTGACTCTGTCCCGCACTCGGCCTGTCCCTCCTCTGACCGCGGTTCTGTGGCTCCGTGCCGTCCCGCAGAAGCTGCGTCCGATGGCGTTCCGCCCGTCTCGAGTCCAGGCCTACCTGTGGTCGGCGGCCGCCTGCTACCGAAACATAGTCTGCGTCGGACAGGCGGGCTCCGGTAAGACGCTCGGCTACCTACTGGCCGTGGTAAACAGTCTCCTGGACCCGGACACGTATGAGGCTGTGAGTATATGCGGGGGGGGGGGGACAGCCCTAATCGGTGTGCACGGAAGATGACCATGGAGTTGGCGGCGGATGAACTCACACCAGTCAATGACTGAGCTGGGTGTGATTGCTATGGCTGGCAGCGGCTGACTTTGTACGGCTATTTCAGCGATAACTGACTGTATGATAGCGATGACTTTGTCAGTGACAGATGTGTGATAATTACGGCCACGAACTGACTATATGATCGACAATGACGTGCTTGTGTATGACTGTGACCTTAGCTATTATGGTGTATGACGGGTGACTTTGGCTAACTGTATTTATTATGGGTGCTAACACTGTAAATGTGTGACTGCGAGTCTATGGCGGTGGTTGTCAGTTGTGTGTGCCTGTGAGTCTGTGACAGTGACTGACTATGCGCATCCTCTATCAGGCGCCTACCGGCCACGGTCCGCTCTGCCTGGTGCTGGTCCCGTCGTGGCGCCGCGGTCGGGCCGTCCAGGAGCTCTGTCACGCCGTCACCGACTCGCTGCGCTGTCTGCCTCTGCTGGTACACGGCGGAGGCGCCGAGGCGGAGCAGGAGGTGGGTGGGTGGGAGCGAGGGAGGGACAGATAAAGAGGCAGGCATAAGGGGAAAGATAGACGTCTCACTGAAGTAAAAATGCAATATGCATTTATGACTTATATTGTGTTTATTGTTTGTTGTGGCATCAAGTTTCAGTCATGTGCTGCACCGACAGCTCTCGATAACTGTGCCGTTGGGCGTTGCATGTTGTTCGTGTGTTGGTGACTGTGCCCCAATGCAGTACCAGTAACTCTGTCGGCCGCCGCCAGGTGTCTCTGCTGAATGGCTGCGACCTGCTGGTCGGTACGCCGGCCTGCCTGCTGCGACTGCTGCGCCGTGGTCGGGACACGTTCATACAGCTGAGCCGCGTGTGCCACTTGGTGCTGGACGACGCCGACCTGCTGGTGGAGCACAGCGCACAGGCGGTACGGAACGGACAGTAACGGTCGGCAGGCTGGGACTGGGAGGGGCGACAGGCCTGCTTGGAACTGTTCAAACTCTGCCTTATTTGAACAGCATTGCTCCATGCTCCCTATCCCTACGGTTCAAATAATGTACCAGGTTCTGGAATTCGTCTACAAGCTGTATTTGTTGTGCTCATATTCTGTTTAATTTGAATGCTTCTGACCCATTCGTACTAAAGTATAACGTGGTATGCACACTCAGCGCGGAAAGAGCAGTTTGTGCTTGCATTGTTTATCAGGGCGCGGTTGCTTTGTGTCACATTGCGATGACGCTCTAAAGTATAGTGTGACCCTGTGTCCGGTTATTGTTACAGGTGGAGCAGCTGGCGCTGGCAGTGTTCTCCATGTGGCGCGCTAGGTCGGAGGAGGCCCTCTCCCTTCCGCAGCAGGTCATAGCGGCGGCCTCCCACTGGACGCCAGGTCAGTAACTGTAGCCTCTCACTGGGCGCCAGATCAGTAACTGGGCCGAGCTGTAGCCTCCCACTGGACACCAGGTCAGTAGCTGGGCCGAGCGGCTATGCATACCTACTGTGGGTAATATATGCTATCGGATATTGTACGATTACGTTTGGCCAGTGACACTACAGGAACCCCTGGCAAGGTTCGCTGGCTGTGTGTCTGACTAGGTGTGACTGACTGGCCGTATTATCGCCAACAGCACGACTTTAGTAGTTCTGACTGGCCGTGTTTGACCTCCGGCAGGTCTTCAGGCGCTGACCCGCCTCCTGCCCGACTCGGTGGTAGCCACCTCCTGCTACCTGGAGCAGCTGGTGTGGGCGCGACCACGCGTCTTCACACACGTCCTGGAGGACGACCAGAAGGAGCAGAAGCTGCTCGGTAAGCGCCAAGCGGGCTCTGCGCCGTCGGTAGTGGTCCCTTTCCCCTCTCGTCCCCGGTCCACCCCGCCTAGCACGGACTTCTACAGTTAATTATACTGCGACTTTTTTCTTCTTTTCTGCGGATGGTGGCTTTTACGTCATGGCGTCAAAAAATAAATCCAATGCATAAATATCCAAAGGTAAAAAATAAACTCGATTCGCATCGTGTCGGGTGTTGTGCGAGCAACATGAGACTGTCAAAAATTATGAAATGCACAGAAAACCCTTTACAAGGCGAAAATAGTTCTTGCAGCAAGATGACCCTGTTGTTTTGAAGTGTTGTACTTTTGAACTGTTCTTTAACTATGCAGGATTGTCATATTTCTCAGCGGCGACTGCCCTGCCTTCGATCTGTGGCTCCTCCCCGCCCTGCTCTGTGACCCCTCCCTCCGTCGCCTCGCCCCATGACCCACCACTCCCTAACTCGTATCAGGTCTACTGCAGACCGGCCTGCACTGTCCTGTGACACCTATCTCGCCCCTTCCTGCTGCTGGAGACGTCCTGTCCGCCGGCGTTGTAATGCCTACTCACCGCCCCGTCTCCTCCCTTCCATGCTCTATGACCCCCTCCCCTCGTCGCCCCGCCCTGTGACCCTCCCCGCACTACTCGACGTACCTCGCACCATGTGTACTGCAGACGGGCCTGCACCGCAGCTCTGTGACACACCTGCCCTGCGATCCACCCCTGCAGATGGGCCTGCTCCGCTCTGTGAGTCCTCCCCTCCCTTCTCTGTGACCCCATCCTCCCCCATTCCGTTGTGATCCGCCCGGTGCCCCGTCTCTGCTCGCACCAGGTCTACTGCAGACGGGCGTGCACCGCTCTGTGCCCCTCCCCTGCCCGCGCTGTGACCACTTTGCCTCCTCCCAGGTCTGCTGCAGACGGGCCTGCACCGTCACCGTCTGGTGGTGTTCACCAGTACGGACGAGAGTGCCCAGCGGCTGGCCCGTCTGCTGCACTGCCAGTCGTACCCGGTGCTGCTGGCGGACGGCGACCAGCTCGGCGCCTCGCTCACAGGTCAGTGGGCCGGGCGCGGAGTCTGTAGAGTGTCTGTGAGGTGCCTTTGTCCGCCGTTATATTATATGCTAACTGTCAGTGGGCTCGGCGTGGGATGGTGGCCGTGAGTTGTCCCGTGTCTCGAGTGGTCTACCTGTCCGGCGCCTATCTTGTCCGTTATAGCCTCGGAAGGTGTCCGATTCTGTGATAGACACTGTCCGAGCTGGATGTATCACTTTCTGATCTGTGTGGACGTGAGCTGTGAGTGTCTCTGACAGCTGATGTCATTTATCCGTATATCCCTGTCCATATAGGTAACAGTGTGACTGAGCTCTGTTTTCGTGCTTTTGGTGATGGAACTGTGTATGCCCGGTCGGTGTCCGGGTTGAGCTGTGTCTGTTTCAGTGATCGTCCTATCTCACTGGCACGCAGAGCTGGCCTGCCCCTGTCAGCCCTGCTCTGTAACCGTGTCCGTGTCCGTATCAGTGTCAGTCTCCCACCGATTCTCTCGCTTCGCAGAGCTGGAGCTTTGCTGTCAGCTCAGCCAGTGTCTTTGCGCGCAGAGCTGGCCCGCCGCTGTCTGCCCTGCTGTAACCGTGTCAGTGCCAGTCAGTCAGTCACTCTCCTCTCTGGCCGCCGCACAGAGCTGGAGCGCTGCTGTCTGCCCTGCTGTGTCCGTGTCCCTGCATGTCACCGTCCCCCCCCTCGCCGCCGCACAGAGCTGGAGCGCTGCTGTCTGCCCTGCTGTGTCCGTGTCCCTGCATGTCACCGTCCCCCCCCCCCCCTCGCCGCCGCACAGAGCTGGAGCGCTGCTGTCTGCCCTGCTGTGTCCGTGTCCCTGCATGTCACCGTCCCCCCCCCCTCGCCGCCGCACAGAGCTGGAGCGCTGCTGTCTGCCCTGCTGTGTCCGTGTCAGGGTTGGCATTTTTGCCGGCAAAAACTAGTTTATGCCATTTGCCGGTTTAAACCGGTTTTAACCGGCAAAAAGTGGCAAAAACTGGCAAAAACCCAGAAATGTCACAATGCTATGCCTAGACATGATTTTGAACAGGAAACATTTTAAGGAGAATTCGGTGAAAGCTTAATGCTTTCAAACAGAAGTGACATTGACCATTGAAATGTTTCATACCTAACTCAGAAACATTTTCATGGGCTATCCATAAGGAGCTAGTAAGATGACTTTTGGGGGTGACAAATGAGCCAGTGCAAGGGTGACTGGGTGAGTTCTGCACAATCAGAAGTGCGAAGAGGTATCGGCCACTGATATGCGCACGGCACCGCATGACACCCTACTTACCGTGGCCGCCTTGCCCCACTCTCCCCTACATGGAAATACATTCCGTTGTGGATATCTACCAACATGCATAGACATTTTAAGCAGGGATAAGTAATGAGGCAGCTTCAGAATGTTTAGTGCATCTATATAACTACCAGAAATGCATTTGTACAGTCCACAGCAGAAGTAACGTGTGGTTTCAGTCATGGGTATGTTCTGCTTCTGAAACTTAGGAACGATTAGCCGGACTACAATGAAACTTTGAATGTAGCTTATATGTATCCTCAGCATTAAACAATTGCCAGTCAAAGCCAACCGTTGAGATTGGTAAAACCCTTCATTACTTTAGCGGTGGGCTGTACATTTCAAATCCATTCCTAACTACATATAAAAGTTGTAGGTTTGGCCATCTGAGTTTTAGCCAGTTTTTGCCAGTTCTTGCCACCAGGGTTTCTGCCAGCCGGTTTAAACCGGTTAAAACCACTGGCAAAAACCAGTTTTTGCCACCCCCTGCCAACCCTGGTCCGTGTCCCTGCATGTCACCGTCCCCCCCCCCCCCCCCTCGCCGCCGCACAGAGCTGGAGCGCTGCTGTCTGCCCTGCTGTGTCCGTGTCCCTGCATGTCACCGTCCCCCCCCCCCCTCGCCGCCGCACAGAGCTGGAGCGCTGCTGTCTGCCCTGCTGTGTCCGTGTCCCTGCATGTCACCGTCCCCCCCCCCTCGCCGCCGCACAGAGCTGGAGCGCTGCTGTCTGCCCTGCTGTGTCCGTGTCCCTGCATGTCACCGTCCCCCCCCCCCCTCGCCGCCGCACAGAGCTGGAGCGCTGCTGTCTGCCCTGCTGTGTCCTTGTCCCTGCCTGTCACCGTCCCCCCCCCCGCCGCCGCACAGAGCTGGAGCGCTGCTGGCGCTCGTCGAGCGGCGACGCGCCCGACGTGCTGGTCGTCAGCGACACTGTGGTGGCCGAGCTCACAGTACGCGACGCCGCCGTCCTCGTCCACTTTGACGTACCCACCGAGAAGCGCACCCAGCTTGGTCTGAGGTGTAGCTACATGATGGACAGCTACCCGGACAGACTCGTCAACCCCGAGGCCGAGGTAGGGTGCCGCGGGAGAGGGAGGGGTGGCAGCGCGGCTTGATGTGGAACGGTGTTGCAGAGTAGATGGTTGTGGTACAGCTGAGAAGGTTCATAGAAGGAAATAATGCTTGCCGATTCGGAAGAATTGGTAGGATTGCAGACCACGGTAAATCTTCAGGGCTAGCGTAACTGGGATAAAACGGAACAGATAATGACACCTTAGAACGGCCGTTAGTGGCGGCAGATATAAGATTGTCTGAAGCCTATTTGATTGTTTGCCGTTTGACGCTAATTCTGTCGCCATCTCTCTATTGTCCAATAGATGAACCCTCCCCCTCCCTCTCTCGACAGAACCGGTGCGTGGTGCACCTGTTTGTGTCTCCGTCGGCCGCGGAGAAGATCGGCCCCCACCTGCCGCAGCTGCTGGTGCGGCTGGGCGCCGAGGTGCCGCCGGCGCTGGCCGAGGCCGCCCGGCGCCGCTCCGGCCCGCGGCGTCTGGCGGCGCTCTGCGACCGGCTGTTGGCCGCCGGCCGGTGTCCGGACCGACTGGGCTGCGAGCGCCGCCACTGGCTGCACCCGACCGCCGACGCAGGACAAGAGGACATACCGCAGTGAGTGGACCGGTCGCGGTGCGCTTCGGGCAGCACCGGCGCCGCACTGGTAGAGTCGTGACCGATACATACGCCGGTACATGTAGCTGTTTCTGGAGAGGAACAATTGTCAGTCAGCAGTCTATCTCCGCTTAATTAAAAGATAAGTATCATTTATCGACAGAGAAAATGAGTTAATATTGAAAATGAACCAAGCTTGCCCTCCTTTGAGCCGGTTAGTTAGATAGGTACGGTGAACTCCATAATTTGTAACGTATGCGTCATGTGTGCCACCATGGACGCGTGCCCTCTTTCTCACACTCAATAGATCCCTCACTCACTCACTCCCTCCGTCCCTCTCTCTCTCTCTCTCTCTCACTCTCTCTCTCTCTCTCTCTCTCTCTCTCTCTCTCTCTCTCACACACACACACACACTCACACACTCACTCACTCACTCACTCACTCACTCACTCACTCACTCACTCACTCACTCACTCACTCACTCACTCACTCACTCCCTCATTCACTCACCCACTCTCCTCCCGGCAGGTATGGCGAGGTGACTGTATCCGTATCACACGTTCTGGACGCCGCCACGCTGGCTGTCCGCCTCCTCTCGGTCCGTGATACCCGTGCGGAGGCTGAGGGCGGAGACGGACGGCCGCGACAACTGGAGGACGCCTGCTGTAGGATGGAGCTGGATGTGTGCGCCCACTACAGCCTGCCGGCCAACAGGTACGTACGGAGTGGGTAGACGGGCGGACGGACAAATGGACGGATGGACGGACGGACCTCGGATAGACAGACGGACGGACGGACGGTTGCGCAGTGTGATTTGTGCCAGAAGAGTGGTCAATGGCAGCATGTGATGATTCACTGACTGGCTATCGTATGTCGATTGGCACAGTGTCAAGTGTCATCAGTGTGTCGCTGCCGATGTGTCACTAATTATATGTGATTTTGATTTTGATAGTATTGCAGATGTGTGTTTGAAGCTGAATCCTGTGTCGAGTGACTATTATAATATGTCACGGGGCGGCTTCTGTTTCTTCCGCCTGCATCACTTATAATCGTCCTGTGTTCCCAGAGTGTGCCACGAGCTGCCCCAGGTGGGCGACCTGTGCGGCCTGCTCTGGGACGACATGTTCGTGCGTGTCCAGGTCACCTCCCTGGAGACGGGTACCGAAACGTGCGCCGTCCTGCTGGTCGACTTCGGCAACACGGAGACCGTTCAGGTGGGTGCGATGGGACAGGGGAGAAGCCGTCCTCGGGAGGAGGGGAGGGGAAGGGAAGAGACATCGCCTGGGTAAGGGAGAGAGGCCGCTCTGGGTAGGGGAGAGAAGGACTCATGGTAGAGAAACAGCTGATCCTCGATGTTCATCTAGGCTGTCTATTATTTCGTGCTGTTTTTGCTATACAACTGCTCTATGTGGGACGACAGCGTCATTCCCCTCTCTGGCGTGTTTCGTGGAAAACTTATGGAAACCGCTGTATTAGGATTGATAGTCGGTCGTCTCTCAACAGCCCCGATGTGGCTGTCCTAGCTCAGATGGTAAGAGTGCTTTCCTGTGTGCCAGCGACCGGTGCCTGTCTGTGCGTACCCGTGGTGAGAGTGTCTATCTCAGCGCCGCTGCCGGCTGCCGCTGTGTCTCTGGGTGACCAGTGTCTCTCTGTTTCCCTCAGCGCGCCCGCCTATTTTCGGTGCCGGCCGCTGCTGTGTCTGTTAGTACGGATAGTGAGTATCTGTCTGTCTGTGTCAGGTCAGGTGGTGACTGTCCGTCTGACCCACACAGCGCGCGCGCCTGCCGTCTCTCCCGGCCGAGCTGTGTCTGTTAGCTCGTGTGGTTGCTGACTGACTGTCCGTCTGACCCACACAGCGCGCCCGTCTACTGTCTCTCCCGGCCGAGCTGGCCGCCGTGCCGCCGCAGGCCGTCACCGCTCACCTGTGCGGCGTCGAGCCCATCGACGGCGACTGGGAGTGGACCGAGGGAGCCGTCCGGCTGGCCGAGACCCACCTCAGAGGACAGGTGGCCGTCGGAAAGGTTAGTGGTGAAACTAGAGCGATAAGCGAGATCCCCACCGGGGGGCAGGAGGGCTGATTACCGAGTTACGCGGCTTTAAGGGACACTTGAAGTTGAAGTGCTTCCGGCCCTTGGCTGGAAGCCATACGGGGGGATGCCTCACAGGCGGCCCAGCCGCCTCAGGAGCTCCACCAGCTTCGTCGGGTCTCCCAGTGCTTCCCTCATCTCCGTTTCGTCTTCTCCGAATATCCTTCGTCTCACCTCTGCCCGGGCGGGGCAGTCGGTCAGGAGGTGAGTTAGTGTCTCATCCTCCAGTCCGCACTCAGGACAGGTAGGGTCGTCTTCCAGGCCGATTCGGTGCCGGTACTCCCGCAGCATTATTGAGTGGCCGGTACGAAGTCTCGCGGTTTCCACGCATTCCCGGCGGGAGAGTCCCAGGCGCTCAGCCGGGGGGATCCGGCGCACTCCGTTCTGCAGGGCGTAGCGGGTCGGTTGTAGCCGTTCTTCCCACTCCCGGTGGGCGTGCCTCCTTAGCCTGGCTTTTGCTGACGGAAGGTCTACGGGCACGTCGCGCTGCTCCAGGTTGGCGGCCTTTCGGGCAATTTCGTCGGCCAGCTCGTTACCGGGGAGCCCGGCGTGGCCGGGAACCCACTGCAGGGACGTGTGCGTCTCGCGGTCGGCTAGGTCCAGCAGCCTCTGCCAGACTCTGTCCGCCAGGACATCCGTCTGCGCCGCCGGGCCCTCCGCGAGGCGACGCAGGGCCGACTGGGAGTCGGTACATATTCGCACCTCCCGCGGAGCAGGGCCCTCAGCGCCCCTCAGGAGGGACGCGAGGGCAGAGTCGAGCGCCGTTACCTACTTGTAGACATTATAGATAATCATAAGGTGATCGTTTAGCGACACCACACTGAGAATATAATTGATTCTATCTAAAGCCTAGTCAGTAGAGGGCAACTGAAATGGCTAGTGAACTGTATATGGAAATTCACAACACAAAAAAATTAGCGGTCTGAAAGATGAAAATTGGGAAACATGGATATTTCGTTTTGAAACCCGCTTTAGTGAGCTGGACGAGACAAGCCTAGCCACTGTGCTGCTCGATGTATTATACGGCACTGCCCTCGACGTTTGCGGAAAATTAGGGAGGGATGAGAGGAAAAGTTACAAAATCCTCAAGGGTGCGTTGCAAAGGAAATTTGGAGCCAACGTCGATCCACGACGCGCGAATGCAGAACTCCGTCAGGTACGTCAACAACCGGGAGAAAGCACGGAGGCGTTTGCAGATCGCGTTCGAAAGCTTACAAATATAGGAAATCCGGGACTGTCCAGTGCTCATCTCGACCAGACAGCCTTAGAACATTTCTTGTGCGGCCTCAGTGACCTGAAACTGCAAGGAAAGCTGCACAACGATGACGCTGTGCTGTCTCTACAGCAAGCCATTCGCGTAGCCCAAAAAGTCCAAGAAAAAGAAACCACCTTGTCTGTTATGCGCACGTTAGGTGGTCAGGACACGCAGACGGTCATGCCCTCCAGCCACGCTACAGCCAGCGAAAGCCCACGGAACACAGGAGGCGACCGCACAGACACAACAGAGGTTCTGGCGATGATTGGTGAGTTAAAAGACGAGTTAAGGGAGGTAAAGGCTCAAATAAAACGAGGCACAAACGGAACACCAAACGCGATCAGCAGCAATCAGCGTGGCTGTTTCCAGTGTGGCGATACCAACCATTTCAAGCGCAATTGTCCGCGGCTTTTGAACGGACGCCAGCCAGGGCAAGTTAGGCCCCCAGGGGCGACAGCCGGGAACCGAGGGACGGCACCCAACGCACCTAAGAGCCTACAGTGTTTTAGATGCGGGAGACGCGGGCATTCGGTAGCCGAATGCTGGAGAACGCCGGTTTCGGCGGGCGGCCTCGGTTCGTCGAGCGCCCCACAAAACATGGGACACGTGAGCTGTTTGAATTGCGGGAGACAAGGACACTGGGCGGCCGACTGTTGGAGACGAAACGGTGGCAGGAGTCCACAGTACCCAGCCGGACCGCACCAGGGCACGCAGCAGGGAAACGGTCAATGACTGGTGCTGAAGGGCAAGCACCAGTCGGAGATGAACAAGAAGCAAGCCCCAAACGCGCTTCAGTGATCAAAATCGAAGTCGAAGGACGCAGTGTATGGACCCTCGTTGATTCCGGAGCCGATGCGTCAATGATTGGACAAGAATTCGCCCGAGCGGCTGTACAGAAAGGAGCGTCCCACAAAGGAAATTTTGGAACAATAACGCAGGCAAACGGGCAGAAAATACAGGTCAACACGCAACCAGAAGTGTCGTTCTCGATACAAACCTCGCAGTTCATCCAGCCTATGTATGTTGGTCATTCCAGGCTTGATCTACCAGGTCGTTCTCGGCCGAGACTTCTGCTGCCAGCACAAAACAGTGCTAGATGACAGGGCAGGGGTTTTCAGAGTGGGGAACGTCGAGATTCCTTTACCAACATATTCTGAGTTACGACCGCTACGAGCAAGGGTGGTCACTTGTGCCTCAGTCACCATCCCCGCTAGGTCTCAGACCCTCGTTCAGGCCGAGGTCGAGATCCCAGATGGAGGCGTTCCCAGATGGAGTGATTTTCACTAAAGAAGCCACTTGGGAGGGTGTTCTAGAACCTCACTCAGTTGAGAGCAGCCAAGAGTGGAGGGTCCCTCGTTTAGTTACAGAAGTGACGAGCGAGGCAACCGTGCCGATTCAGGTCGCCAACATCGGAGACAAAGCAGTAACGGCACAGAATCCCTCCAGGCACAGAAATCGGTACACTGTACTCTATTCAAGAAAATGGCAGGGGTATGTACGACGTCCCGAGCTCTTCAGCGGCTTCAGCTGAACTCAGTGCAGGGGCGCTCGATAATCTCTTAAGCGAACTCAAACTCGAGTCTACTGCCCTTTCAGAGAGCGGCAAGACCTCGCCAACACAACTTGTGTCACGATACCAGGATATCTTCAGCACGGGAGAGTCCGACATTGGAAAAACAAAGCTTCTACAACATCACATCGAAACTGGAGGCGCGGCTCCGATCCGACAAAGGCCACGACGGATCCCAATGAAACTAAGAGAAGAGGTGGAAAGACAAAAGGAAAAGATGTTGAAAGAGGGAATAATCGAGGAGAGTTCCAGCCTTTGGTGCTCACCCATCGTTCTGGCCAAGAAAAAAAGACGGCAGTTTCAGATTCTGCGTCGATCTTCGAGCAGTGAACTCTGTCACCCAAAGTCTGCCAGTCCCTCTCCCGAGGGTGGATGACAGCCTCGGCAGCCTCGCGGGGGCAAGCCTGTTCTCCACCCTCGACATGGCCTCAGGCTACTGGCAGGTTGATGTCGCTGAAAAAGACCGAGAGAAAACCGCTTTCAGCACGGGAAAAGGCCTGCACCACTTCTGGTCCATGCCTTTCGGCCTCAAGAACGCTGGAGCCACGTTCCAGCGACTGATGGAACTAGTGCTGGCTGGAATGGACTCAAAAAGCTGCCTGGTGTACATAGACGACATTATTGTCTTCGGAAAGGATCAAGACGATCATCTCAAGAACCTGGAGGAGGTCTTCCAAAGGATCAGGACAGCAGGGATGAAACTAAAGCCAAGGAAGTGCTGTCTAACCCGCGACGAGGTAGTATTCCTCGGACACAAGGTGGGGAAGAGTGGTGTGGAGCCAGACCCAGCAAACATAGAGAAGGTGCGTCACTGGCCTCGACCACAGAAAGCCGAAGAGCTGAAGAGTTTTCTAGGGCTCGCAGGATACTACTCGCGGTTCGTGCCCAACTATTCTGACCTCGTGCGACCCATCAGAGAAGCTGCTGAGAAAAAGGGTACTGTTGAATGGACTGAAGAGCTGGTGGAAAGCTTTGAAAGCACTAAAACGAAGCTGACGTCGGCGCCAATCCTCACCCTGCCAACCTGCAAGGGCGAATTCAAGGTTGCACGCGACGCCTCCAATACTGCAGTCGGGGCGGTGTTGACGGAGACCATCAACGGCGATGAGAGGGTGATCGCCTACGCCAGCAAGGTGCTCAACAAGAGTGAACGTCGATGGCCGACGTATGTTAAAGAACTTTGGGCAATTGTATGGGCTATTAGACATTTTCGCCCATATTTGGCTGCCACAACGTTCACGGTGATGACGGACCACAAACCGCTCAAGAACATTCCCCGCTCGATCAGTGTCGACGGAGACGCCACGGGACGACGTGGCAGATGGGCAATCGAACTCAGCACATACGACTTTGACGTTCAGTACCGAAAGGGCAGTGACAATGGGAATGCTGATGCTCTATCGAGACTTGTCGCTGACGTCACTGACTCCACAGCCGAGACGGAGGCCAAAGAGCTTCTCGCAGCCGACCACCAGGGCGGTCGAGAAGACATCCCCCTCGAAAAGCTGCGATTCGAGCAGGAGCTCGACCCCTTACTGGCTGAGGTCAGGAACTGGTTGGTAGCCAAGAGGCTTCCCTCAAAAAAGAACTAAGGAAAAAGAACAGCTCACTGCGTAGCATGGCTCGATTATTCGACCAGCTCACGGTCGAACATGGAGTTCTAAAACTCAGGCGACATGGCGACAGCGACAACTCGGTCATTGTTCTTCCAAAAACCTATCATGAAACAGTCCTGAACATGCTACATGACGATGTGGCTGCCGGTCATCTGGGAACCGACAGAACTCTCGAGAGAGCAGCAACCAGGTTTTTTTTTTGGCTGGGGATGAGCGGGGACATCGCCCGCTACTGCGAAACATGCGAGACCTATCAACGACGCAGTCGCCCAGCACCACAGATGCAAGCAACTCTCCGAACCGAATCCTATTCGAGGCCATTTGAAAGAGTGGCTATCGATGTCACCGAGATGCCGATGTCGGCTCGCGGTAATAGTTACGCTTTAGTAGCAATGGACTACTTTACCAAATACGTCTTTGCCTACCCCATGCAGAACCAGACAGCTGAAACCATATCTGACTGTCTTCTGGACATGGTATTGCGGCAAGGGGTGCCAGAACGCCTTCACAGCGATCAAGGTCGCCAGTTTGAGTCTGCGGTCTTCCAGTCCCTGTGCAAACGACTAGGAATCGAAAAAACTCGGACATCACCCTATCGGCCTGAGAGCGATGGCATGGTAGAGCGCTTCAACCGCACACTCAAGGACATGTGCTCGAAATTTATCAAACTGTGCGGATCTGATTGGGACGAACATTTGGCTTTCCTCACCTTCGCATACAACACGTCCAAACACTCGGTGACCGGATTTACCCCATTTTTTCTGGTGCATGGGTATGAGGCACGCCTGCCAGTCGATGAGCTTTTCAACCAGAAGCGCGACGTGTCGATGGTCGACACGCATGTCGAAAACAAGCTGCGCCAACTCAGAAATGCATACAACAAGGTTCGCGAAAACATCGACAAAGCCTCCAACGACATGACAAAAGCACAAAACGAGTCGGCACGAGAGGTTGAATATGTGCCAGGTGAAAAAGTGTGGGTTAGGGACCATACGGCTCACGTCGGAGGTAAACGTAAGCTGGCCCTTCATTACAAAGGCCCAGCGACCATTTTAAGAAGGCACGGTCCGGAGGGAGACGGAGTCACCTACAAGGTCAGCATGCCCGGTGGTAAGGAGACCAACGTTCATCACAATCATCTGAAACCTATGAAACTTCGGAGGAAAGACGATCCAGCCGAACGACCAGTTACACCCGAACAACACGGACAGCAGACCACTGACGAGACTACGCCTGACCAACACAAACAAAAGACTGACGAGCCCGTATCTCGGGACTCTAACATGATCACGAAGAGTAGCCCATTTATACACTTTTCGCAGATGCCCAGTGATACGGCTGCGGGACAAACACCACAACCGACGAGCACATACATCACACGATACGGGAGAGTATCCCGGCCTCCGGTAAGATATCCAGACCTGTGAATGGCGGCTGTGTGACCTGTGACCCTAACTATGAATAAGTTAAGGAAGGAAACGATGCATGTCTGTCGATGCGTATCAATTGTATTATGCCGCCAGGTATGGACGCTGAAGGCGTGGAAGTTGGAAGAGAGGACGTCGTTCCGTCGACGGAGCGCTGCAGGCGTCTGGAGGTTCGCTGCGTCGACCTCCAGGACCAGGTGGACGGATTGCGGCGGTCCTGATTATCTCAATGCTGGCCATTGGTACCAGCCATGCACGGCTATCCGCTCTGTATCTGCACTGTATCCAGACAGTATCCATTCTGTACCGGTGTCCGGTCGGTGACCACTGTCCTCCTGCGCAGGTGGTGCTGTATTCGCGCTGTGTCCTGTCGGTCCTGTCTCGTGCCTGGCCGCTGACCTCTGTCCTCCCGGGCAGGTGGTGCTGGCGCTGGGCCGGCACCTGTGGCTCTCGCCGCTCGTCCGTCGGCGCCACCACCAGCTCTACCAGACCAGCGCCACGCTGCTGGACCCGTCGCTGGCCAGCCAGCTGCTGGAGCGCGGCTTCGGCCAGCGCGCGCCGCGCCACCTGGAGAGCCTCTACGAGCTGTGCCGGCGCGCCGGACTGCCGCTCCGGGACCAGTGGAAACCGGCCGGTGGGTGGAGCCGCCGAGGGGTGCACTATGGAATGTGTGACCTACCTCAACACCTGCTTATAGTGACACCGGCTCGCTGATTCACTTTAGTCAGCCGTCAGCTTGACCTGTTAACTGCTCATTCTCGCTTATGCGCTCTGACTAGTTTTATGCTAATAATCCTGGTAATATTATGTGGCCCTCTGATCGGTTTTGATACCATGCTCTGGAGTTAATATTATCTGTGACCCTGCATTGACCCACTACCATCCTATGAGCTGTGACCCGCCGGTCTGACCTGTGACTTGTTGTGTCTCCCTGTGATGAATTACCTTTGACCCGCCCTGACCCTTGAACTATGACCCGCCGCTGATCTGACCTCTGACCCGTGCCACCAGACCGCCGCAAGCTCTACCAGACGGAGTTTCTACCCCTGGTGGCGCCACTGAAAACTAACTCCTCGGTGAACATTACAAACGTCACGAGTCCGGCCGACTTCTACGTGCAGCGTAATGACGTCTTCCCGCAGTGAGTGTTGCGTACTGCGAGAGGGAGAGACTGCAGCTGTAGCACTAATTGTAATTATAGTTGGAAATGTCTTGTTGATTATTTGTATTGTTTCGTTGTATTTCTATTGTGCATTTGAAGAAAAATAAAAACACAGCTAACGGTGTTAGCAGCATAGGAAAACTAAAAAACGACAAGAGCAAAATCGTTCTTTTACGGACTGGGAGAAACACTTCAGTAATGACCTCTGTCGGTGTGTCTGTGTTTGTCAGGTACGAGCAGCTGATGGCCGACCTGAACCGGTGGGCGGAGGGGCCCGAGCCGGCTCGGCTGGCTTCCTACCGGCACCGCGTCCGGCAGCACTGCGTGGCACAGTTCCCCGAGGACGGCAGGTAAGGCGGACACGGCCCGCAGAGTAGCTACAGCGAACTTGCCCACAGATCACACACAACATAGTTACAGACCATACGGAACGCCATACTCCAGCAAACAATATCAGGCCCAATTATTCAGTCTCCTTATAGCATAGGGCGCTCGGCGTATAACAGAAAATCTATCTAAAGGGTCTTACTTTGCAAAATGTCAAGCGGTGAAACCGTAGCTACTCGCTGTTTACGTCGACCTCCCCTATGTAGAGCCCCCTGTCGATACAACCCAGCTTTACTGGCGGATCGTTAAGACCCTGTATTCATGTGTCCTTGCCGTCCTGTCCTTGTAACATGCCGTACTCTAGCGTTTCGTCCCCCACCCTGACGTTCTGTTCCGGACTACGTGCAGGTGGTACCGGGCCCGCGTGCTGTCAGTGACGACAGACGAGGCGGCCGACACCGTCACCTACGAGGTGCTGTACACGGACGTGGGCGACCGGGCCAGCGTCGACGAGAGCCTGGTGCTGCCGCTGCCGGAGCGCTTCGCCAAGCGACTGCCGCTGCAGGTGAGCCCGGCGGTTAGTCTGGAAGAGTCCACCAAATACAGTCCACCAGGAGTCTGTTTCGGCGGGGGACGGCTGTATTCCGGCGGGGTAGGGGGTAGCTCTGGCTCTGTTCGAGCGGGGAGGGGGAGGGATTACTACTTAGCACGTCCGTTCAGGTGGCGGTCCCAGTCCCTGAGAGTGTGCAACAGGACGTTTCTGACTGGTTGAGCGGTGGTGAGGCGACTGTGAGGCGAACGGCAGTGTTTCTTGGTAACTAGTTAGCGATGAGGTCGGTCCCTAATACTGGGCGCAAAATGACCTTGTAGTCAATGCGCCCTAAAGCTCCGATAAACAGACAAATAATCGGTCCCGAGTACGCCGTTCGCTCTGTGACCGTCAGTCTACCCCCAGGCGATCCGCTGTGAGCTGGCGTTCTGCTCGCCCACTGCGTCCGACGGTGTATGGTCAGAGGAGGCCGGCGACCTGCTCTATCAGATGTCACTGGACGACGAGGAACTGTGGATTCCCTACCACTGTCAGGTGAGCAGGGAGGTGCACCGAGCCGACGTGACAGGGTGTTATTTACGTCATTTACACGTGTATGACCAACAGTAAATTCGAGCTGTTCTTTGATGTGAGCTTCTCGGATTATCTGAGCTGGTACATGTTAGTTAGGTCGGGGCCTGTGCAAGAAGCTCTGCTTAACGTGAATTCCGGCTCTGTCAAGCCGTCCATTCAAACATTCGAGCTAAAAATGTTTTTTAAGGTTTGCCTGACCGGTTGGTACAAAGCTTTAAGTTCCTCGATTTATCTGAGCTAGTACAGGGTTCACGGGAACCGTGAGTTACACGGTTCGAACTGGTTTATTGTCAGAGTTACTTGCTTTGTCTGGCCGCCCGACGTCTGACGGTTCACGCTCCGCTCTCCCCAGGTGGTGGGCCAGACGGCCGGCCGACACCGGGTGGTGCTGTACGACCCTCAGCGGCGCGGCGTGCACCACAAACTGGAGGAGGCCGGACTGGCTACAGTAGACGAGCAGGTGGGGCGGCTGTGGGAACCCCTGTCCTTAACAGACCGAACTGTCAATGACACGAACTGCCGGTACTCGCTAAACAAGACAGTCGGGGACTCGGGAGTGGGACGTTAGACAATATTTGAGAGTTTCTCCTTCTCCCATTCAGCTGCGGGTGTTTGCGACTGTGCGTCGACTGTAAAAGGTTTGCCACTTTTGAACAGCATAGGTACACCTTTTTTCAATCCGAATCGGCATCCGGTCAGTTAGTTTCGGCAGATCTGCATTAGGAACGTCAGCCGGAGTGCGCTTTCGACAAACCACGCTCCAAACTCGGCATAGTGCAGAGGCGTGACATGGGGCATTTAATTTCGACAATGAGCGTGGTTTCGACACTGGCCAATGGAGTTCGGCACACGGCATAGGACTGTGACATCGGGCATTGGAAAAAGGCAAATTTCATTTTACAATGGCAATGGTCATTCAGTTTCGTTGCCGTTATAACAAGCAAAATCAAGCAAATTTCATACATCATTTTGTATATTGATGTGTTTCCAATGCTTACCACTTGAATTTATGGCATTTCATCCTTTTGTTAGACTTCCCTTGGTTAATGGAACAAAAAATACACCAAGGCCGCGGTTTTAAGGTCTAAACGTTTTTTTTTTTCTGTGAATGGAGGGTGAGTAGGCTAGCAAGCCATGTCAGAGTCGTGAGATGAGAAGATCATGCGGAGGAAGCATTTGGGTGAGTCTACCAGTGACCGGTGCGCTGCGGCGGCTGACAAGACGCCGGTATAAAACTGTCCCGCTACGGATAAGCAGCCAAAGCGATCGATGGGTCAGCCCGTAGGGTTTCCACCTTTCCAGAGGGCAGTTTTTTTTTTGTCCAGAAATACAGTTGACCATGACTGACCAAACCGCCGTCCTGCAAACATTGTTGCCGCTCTCCGGTGACATGCCCATTCCCATCTCGGCAGACCTGAGCCATCCGCGCTGGCGGTCAGCGCCACTCACAATGTGTCGACAGATCGACACAAATGAAAAAATCAATATTTTTGTTTTTCATGCAAGAAATACGGCTAAAACATTGTCAACTTTAGATGCGTTGAGAGGAGCGAGGCCCCGAATCACCCCCGTCAACCTTTGGATTCGCCAGGAGCGTGGCCCCGAATGACCCCCGTCGCCCTTTGGATTCGCCAGTGCTTCCACATTGTCACAGAGTGACGCAAGGATGGTGACCTCGAATGAGGTCAGCTTGTGTGCCGGAAGCGGGTGATGTTAGGGACGAACCGGTGTTAAGGTTCCAGAGCGACTGACGAAATTAGGCGCCCGTTGCCGTATTCCAATGAACGGTTGCCGATTCGGATTGAAAAAGGTGTGGTTTCTTAGCAACAAAGTGCCCATATTGAGTGTCTCTTTACAGTACCGTGGAACATTTTAACGCACATTCTTAGAATGCCTTTCCGAAAAGATCAGAGTTGCTTAATTCACTGATTAGATAAATTGACCATTGTCTAGCTTGGCTGCAAGCTGCCGACGTAAAATGCAATATGGCAAAAAACAATGCCCTTTGTCGATATTAAATGCTCCTGCCGTTGTTCAATGACCCCGGTCGAATATCAACAGATGCTAGTCTAAATCCGTGAAAAGTGTCGAAATGCGTGCTCCAGTGTCGAGTTGTTAGAGTGCCTGTCGAGATAAGGTGCCCGCTGCCGTATTTGAATGAACGGATGCCGATTCGGATTGAAAAAAGGTGTATACGGTGCGTATACAGACCAACAGCTGTGTTAGTGAGCAGTGTTCCATTTTTCAGACTTATTGGTGGCAAATCACACCTAACGGGGAAAATACTTTCATCCCTAAAATATAAAAGACCGACTTAACTTCATCTCTGAAAAAAGTTTCATGTTTTCCCAACAGCCAGTTTACATGTCACTTGACAGTTGATGCACCCACATCCTTTTGTTTTACACCCTGTCAAGATTCTGACATGAAATCCCGGTTTAGCAGTTGGCATACAAGTTGGCATTACACCATTTTGCAAATATACGTCGGTTATTCATTTCCTTTTTTCTCATCCTAGGATTTTTTCTTCATCGGCACACCCAACCAAAATCCAATTTTAGAACACTGTTAGTGAGTGTTGGGGCGGCTATCGTTGTCCGGCCTCCCCTCGTGGACATATCTCTGTGAATTCACGCCCTATCTGTCTTCGCCGGCAGGGTCTGCTGGACGCCGACCCGCCCGAGTTTCCGCCGTCCGAGTCGTCCCTCGCCGCCGGCCGCAGCCTCGACTCTGATGACTCTGACTCTGACTCCGAGCTGCGGCTGGCTGAACAGCGCGCCGGAGTCACCTACCGGGACGTTCTGGAGGTACGAACCCACAACACATACGCACTACGCAGGCTTGTCATCACGAACGAACACATCGTTTACTGATATTGATGCTAGTCTAGGGTAACAGTGTTTGCAATGGCTCGCTCGCATGCGTCACTCTCCACAGTTGCTGTAAAAATCGCTTCTTAGGATAACCTAAATGCAGCGACCTTACCTGGACGGCTATGTATGACATAATTGGTACCGAGTGAAACTTATGTCGTTTTTGGCGATTTAACGATTCGCTTGCTATTTCACGACTGCGTGATAGTGCAAACGGAAAGCACCAGCTTGACAGGCAACTATGTTCCAAAACACTTTATTCAGAAAACATTACAATGCACAGTCTCAGACGCCACGCTGCAGTGTGGGTGGCGGGGTGGGCCGGCCGCCCCGAGCCCCGCCCGGTCGGCGGCAGGTCAGCGGCGCCGACCCGGACCGCTCGGGTCCGTGGCCGCCGCCCAGCCCATCCTGTGCTTGGCCTGCAGCGCGCCAGAGAAGCCGCGGCCCACGCCGAAGTCGAGGTTGCGCTTGTCGTTGACGATCAGCAGCGGCCAGAGTCGGGTGTCGGGCAGGTAGACGGCGGCGGCGCGGCGCGGCGCGGCCCGGCAGCCGCCAGCGAGCCCAGCGTCACGGCGGCCAGCACGAGGAGGGCGGCGGCGGCGCGCTCCATGCTGCTGCCGGGTGGCGGAGGAGGAGGCGACTGAGTGCCGACCGCCGACCGGCCGCCGACTATATGGGGGCCGACGGCGGCCGTGGGCGGCACGGATCCGGCCACCGAGCCGGGTTGGAGACGTGGGTCGCTCAGACATCGGCCCCGTACCCCGTCCTGTCACCACGGCCCGGCAGTGGAGAGACGGCGGCCGGGAGCAGCTGGCGCGCGCTTGTCGTCCCGGGGATCTCAAAAGTCGCGGAAAGCTGGAGTGCCTATTGAAGTAATATGACTATTTTTTACTCTTTATGTTTTAGCTTATTTCGAATGTTACAACCAAAAGTTCCGACTTAACGGTGGGTTTTAACATCCATTTTTTTTCCTGCACAAATTTATCCGTTAAAATTGATGTTTTTGATACTTCTACAGGTGGAAGTGGACAATGTGAGTGGAGTCTTTGGCTGCTGTAACCCAGAACCAGAACAGGCTTCATTTCCTGTTGGAATCTGGACCTCCCCCTCCCTCAGATACTCCGAGGGAATCGAAGATGATATAGCCAATGCTTAAAGTTTACTATTGTAACAGAAAGTCTATCGTCCTCGCCAGGCATGTGCATAAATCGGAGTGTTGGATCAGTGATGTCAGCACGTATCACGACGAACATGTAGGTCTGAATCTATAAGCTATCCACATCGGAGACATAGGGTCTTATATAGGACCTATGTTGGATCTTGGATTCATAAGATGTGACGACAAACCAAGGAAGAACATTTAGGATCTGTTTAATTCTCGTCAAAACATGTGAGTCGGATCCGCGATACCATGTCCTCCTGGACTAGTACGCGATAGCTTGTCAAAAATTGTTTCCTGATGTAGGATTGCATATGATTTCTGGACAAAATGAAAATTCTTGAAGCTTAACAGATTTCAGTTCAAGATTTCAAGAATTGGCTTCAATGTTTATTTCAAATCCTTTCGCCTGTTTAGTGCTCTCTGAACCGCACAATCGGTCATGGATGACAGCTGTTATCCCAATTTCATTATAGTAAGTGACGTGCTTTTCTATTTACATTTGGCAACATTTACAATGATACAGGCATTGGCAAATGCGTATTTGAGTCAACAGAGCGTTTCTTGGGAATGAAACATCAATATACCCGTGACTAGCATTGGTTAAAATCACGGGGTTTATGGTTTAACAGTCGTTTTCTGTAGCTGAACTTCCACCAGTGCTGGCACTTCTTTTCTGCATTCAGAAGATTTTACCCTGCAGGAGGGCTGACCTGGATCATGGATGGGCAGAAATATGCATGTTAAGGTACAATAAATATGCTGAAAGCGGAACAACTGGGGACGCCAGCTCGCGTCGCAGTGCCATCTATTTCATGGAGTGATTTCGGTGGCCGGGGCTGTATCGGTGGGCTCCGTGACCTGACACCGACACTGAAGAGTGGATGGACTCCCGTGTCCGCCCGATCGGAGCTCTAACCGATCCGAGCCGACACCGTCGCCCTTATCAGCGCGCCGGACAATCTGCCGGCATTAGGCTGCCCAGTCGACCCGTTCCAGTCGACCGGAGACGCGGCCGTCGGCCCCCATATAGTCGGCGGACGGTCGGCGGTCGGCACTCAGTCGCCTCCTCCTCCGCCACCCAGCAGCAGCATGGAGCGCGCCGCCGCCGCCCTCCTCGTGCTGGCCGCCGTGACGCTGGGCTCGCTGGCGGCCGCCGGGCCGCGCCGCGCCGCCGCCGCCGCCGTCTACCTGCCCGACACCCGACTCTGGCCGCTGCTGATCGTCAACGACAAGCGCAACCTCGACTTCGGCGTGGGCCGCGGCTTCTCTGGCGCGCTGCAGGCCAAGCACAGGATGGGCTGGGCGGCGGCCACGGACCCGAGCGGTCCGGGTCGGCGCCGCTGACCTGCCGCCGGCCGGGCGGGGCTCGGGGCGGCCGGCCCACCCCGCCACCCGTACTGCAGCGTGGCGTCTGAGACTGTGCATTGTACTGTTTTCTGAATAAAGTGTTTTGGGACATAGTTGCCTGTTGAGCTGGTGCTGTGCATTTGCGCTATTGGATAGTTGACTCGTGAAACGGTAGGCAGCTGGAAATGACTAATTCGCCGTAAATGAACCCCTGTGTGCCTATTTAGGCTGGACAGTTTCGTTTCTATTTTATTTAGTTATTTATTTATTTATTTATTTATTTATTTATTTATTTATTTATTTATGATCGTGAGACGATTCCGCTGCATACACTGTAGATAGTCAAGTCGTTTCAGCGCAAAAAAATGGGAAGATTGGAGCTCACTCGTCAATCGGATCACATCTTTCCAGTTTCGCGGCTCTTGCTTTTAGCTAATAACTACCTTTGACGTTTTTAAACGAAAACTTTTGAGAATAAAACTTCTTCCCTTTGTTCCTTATGTTCCTTTCCTCTCCTTGTGTGCCTACCTTCGAAAGTCGTATAGTAGAGCTTCTCCTTTGACCAGTGAAAAAAAAGGTGTAGGCCTTCTACAATGTATTGCCTTGTCACGTCCATGAGCTCTAATTCACAGCGATAGCCATTTTGTCACCGTATTCCTAAATCCATGGACGAATCGCCCGTCACTCCAATAACCCGCTCGAGTTGGCTGAGCCGATACTTACCCCGTTTACATGAGGCATTCAGCCTAAACGGATATATCCGATTAGCCAGCAGGGAGCAGATAAATGCGTTTCGGTGGCCCCGTTTACATGAGCGCTTTACATGAGGGAAAAATCCGTTTACGGAACGGATAAATCCCTTTACTTGGTAGCCCAAAAAATACGGATGTTTTGCGCATTTTTACATATCTGGCGCAGCTCTGACAATTGACCACGGCTTACATTTTTTGTCAGATCCAAAAACTGTAAAATTGCACCAAATTTGGTAAATATTCATCAAATGTGACATCTTTTACCAAAATCGGTTGGTTAGCACCAAATAAGGAATTTGTTTTACCAAAATAAGCAAAATTGATCACCAAAACAGGAATGTTCAGGAAACTGTTCAGGAGCGGCGAAATTACATTTGGTGCATTGTTACGCTTTTTTTTGTGCAGATATCCACACATAAACGTAAATACCTGGCAACCTTCCAGAATTTAGTAGAAAAGACTAGATTGGTGCAGAAATTCTGGTTTGGGTTCAAAATTCAAATAACCTGTAATTTATTTGGTGCAAGACATACCGATATTTGGTGAGACAGCGATCACAGATTTGGTGTAGAAACCCCGGTTTTGGTCTGCCGAAGTATTAGTCCCCATTGACCGTGACCACACTCTTGCCACACTTGCACTCGTCGTGACTGTTGTGGCAGTTTGTGGCTTGTGCCTATCAAGGCTATACCCAAGCTATACCGTGCCTACTGCCTATCATTGGGTTGATGTCGAGTTCAGTGGTTGATGTATGTACAGCCGGTTTATATAGCCTTGGTACAGCCCACCGCTAAAGTAATGTAGGGTTTTACCAATCTCAACGATAAACGATTGGCTTTGACTGGCGATTGTTTAATGCGGAGTGATCGAAAAGAAGATGTCAATAGCTCATTGCTCTGAGCTGAAATTGCAGCTGCAAGCCTGCAAGGGTGACAATACATATAAGCTACATGCAAAGTTTCATTGTAGTCTGGCTAATTGTTCCTAAGCTTCAGAAGCAGAACATACCCATGACTGAAACCCCACATTACTTCTGCTCTGGACTGTACATGTAGGATAGGTGGTGTCACAAACAGTCATGGAAGATTTTGATATTTGTATGGCACAAGCGATGATTTTATTAGTGCTGTGTAGGCGACATTTGGTGAACTGCCAGAAGGCAGTCTACCATTTGGTGTCTAGGACGAGAATGAAGAGTTGTGCTGCAGCCCAGCAACGTCTGAGAAAGAAGCGCAGGTTAATTATCAATCTTTTGATGGACCTCCAACAAGTTCAGAGACAGCTTGGAAATGGTGGGAGGAGGTGGATGCTGCCACGTTTCAGGAAGCACTGGTTCGAAAGAGAAGTGATGAAGGTTTGTGTGTATTTTATTTTTACCTATACATTGACACATTTTAAGCACTAGGTATATTTTATCAGTATTGTAACAAATAGAAAATGAATGGAACTCTCATGCCTTCCTAATATGAATCCTAGATTTTAAACAAATTGTCAAAAGAAGCTTCAGCATTGCACCATCACATCCGGCATCAGCTCTGGCAGGTAAATGGTGCAAGGCTGAAATGGTGCAGTGCCGAGCAATGCCAGCTGATGCTAGAGATAATGGTGCAAAGCCGAAATGGTGCATCATATTGAGGGCACATGCAGTGCCAGCCATCTGGCAGACTAGAGAAAATTGTCCCGGCCATCTGACAGAAATGGGGAAACAGCTCCGACCACAGCTCCCACACACAGCTCGGCCGGTCAGCTGACAGACAGGGCGGCTGAAAATACCGCAGCTTTATGCCCCTTGTCTGTCAGATGGCCGGCTGAACTGTGGGCCCCCTGTCCGTCAGATGGCCGTGGACCCCCTGTCCGTCAGATGGCCGCATTTGTGAACTCTGTGTGTTAGCTGACCGCAGCTGTTTCCCCCTGTCCGTCAGATGGCGGCATCTGTGTACTCTGTGTGTTAGCTGACCGCAACTGTTTCCCCCTGTCCGTCAGATGGCCGCATCTGTGTACTCTGTGTGGTAGCTGACCGCAACTGTTTCCCCCTGTCCGTCAGATGGCCGCATCTGTGTACTCTGTGTGGTAGCTGACCGCAACTGTTTCCCCCTGTCCGTCAGATGGCCGCATCTGTGTACTCTGTGTGGTAGCTGACCGCAACTGTTTCCCCCTGTCCGTCAGATGGCCGTGGACCCCATGTCCGTCAGATGGCCGCATCTGTGTACTCTGTGTGTTAGCTGACCGCAACTGTTTCCCCCTGTCCGACAGATGGCCCCTTAGGAGGACGGCGTGCCCTCTGTCTGTCAGCTGACCGACTGTGTGTGATGACCTGTGTGCCCCCTGTCTCCGTTAGATGGCCCCGAAGGAGGACGGTGTACCCCCTGTCCGTCAGATAGACTGCGATAACCTGTGTGGTGCCCCCTGTTCCCGACAGATGGCCCCGAAGGAGGACGGTGTGCCTGTCTATTAGATGGCCGTCTGAGCTGTATGCGCCCTCTATGTCTGTCACTGGCTGACTGCGATGACCCGTGTGCCCCCTGTCTCCGTCAGATGGCCCCGAAGGAGGACGGTGTGCCGGTGATGGAGTTTGGCGAGTTCGAGGTGGTCGGATTCCCATTCTCGCGGCTCTCCCGGGAGATGGCGGTGAGTCGCCGCCGCAGAACTGCTGGGAGCGATGAAAAAAAATGTGTTTGATATGCTGCTTATCCCGTGACCGTTGAACAACTATGCTGTAACTGGAAACGAGCAATCCGCTTGACATGGGTAGTTTATTGTTTTCGCACACTGTTGTCATTGATAGGATGCCGCAACGTGACTTCTCTGGTGCGTGCTGTTTGCGCGTCACTTACCCTTCCACTGGGCGCCGATGACCACTACAGTAGTCCGGGCGCCCAAAACCCCCAATTCACCATCATCATCATCACTTACCCTCCTCACCGCGCGGTTACAGGAGCGCTCTGCCAGCTCTGCGGACTCCATCGAGGTGATAGGGCCCGAGTGTGCCGACCTGGCGGCGCCGGCGGCCGCCGAGCAGCCGCCGCCGCCCGTACAGATCACCGAGCTGACCGGTCCCTCCGCGGCACCGGCGCCGGACACTGACGGCGACTGGGAGATCGTGCCGCCCAGACAGGTACCGGCACATGGACGGCGTGTGCTTCTTCTATGGTAGCACGGAATATGTATCTACGACAGAATAGCACGGAACGTCGTAGAGTGTATACTCCGTGATGGTAGGATCATTAACCCGCGCTGGGCCGGTGCTCTGAGATTCCGCGCCGGGCCGGGGGGGGGGGGGTGTCTGAACACCCCCCCCCTTCTAACTCGGCTCCTGGGCCACGTAGCGACACGCGGTAAGCGGCAATCGAAATAACGTCCAAATTAAGGACGAAAACACTTCGGTCATTTTCGGGTCAGGTCAAATGTCAGGTCACCAGAGGTCACCAAAGGTAAATTATTGACTATTTCAACATTTTGGAAGCTGCCAACGGCTATCCCGGGAACCGATAGAGCTACAGCGCCGCGGAAAAGCGCATTCGATAGCCCTTTTACAGACCTTTCTGGGTAATGTTCTCAGATTTGACCTCAACGGTTTAGCCTCCAGAGGGCAAAAACTAAAAAAATAGCTGTTTTTACGAAAAGCGTTTTTTCGGCAATAACTTTTGACTCAAAAGAGCCATGACATTACTTTTGCCAGCATCGTGTTCCTCTCGTCGAGACGCGTCGAATGAACTATAATTTGACCTTGAAAGGTCAACTTGAAAATTTGACCTCAGGTCAAGGTCATGACCTGACCGGAAAAGATCATGTTGCATATCAGTCGATCCGCAACGTCGAGCCGAACACATCTAAGGCGTTTTCAGCGCTCTAGCACGCCTCTGTCAGAAGCTATTAGCGAAAAACTGTTAGATTCTGTTCGTGACCTGAGATCACCTCGGGGACATAACGAGGGGTCACAGTTGCCATTTTCCGGTTCAGTGTGTCAATTTTACCTACATCTCGATGTTTGAGAGTGTCGAGAATAGCGTTCGTGCAAAACAGACGCTTTTCAATTTTCTCCCATTGACTTATAATGGAGCGGTCGCAAAATGGACCTGACCTTAGGTCACCGTTATCAAATTTCCAAGATATACTTTTTATAGATAATGTTGCTCTAATGATTCGCTGAAAGTGTCAAGGCAATCAATCAATCAGTGTAGCTATGACGAGCATTCTTTTTTTTTCTGAGGTGAGGTCACTTGGCGTGACCTGGGGACCTGACCTAAGGCGACCTGGGTCTGAAATTTGCACAACATGTGCGGAAAAGATGCCCGAACAAGTGCCGTTTTTGAGATATCTGCGAAAAACCGCAGGGGGGGGGGGGGTGTTCAAACACCCCACCCCCCACCCCCACCCGACGCGGGTTAAGAGCAGTGACCTTATTGGTTAGATTTCAACTTGCCATCAGCTAGTTTGTGTTTGTTTGTTTGCTTGTTTGTTTGTTTGTTTGCTTGCTTGCTTGCTTGTTTTTTTGTGGCATCTCCTCAAACCAATTCACCAAGCTAACGTTCCGTGATCAGTTCGATGCTGTGTTTACTTTTGAACCGGTGTAGGCTCTCTCTTTAGTGTTTGGCCTGTGGCTGATCCCAATCCGTTTTACGAGGTCTGGCACTTGAATTGTAAACAGTGAGTTTTGTTGGGTCCCGTACTCTAACGTTATTTTTTTTTTGTTAAAGGTACTTCAGTTTAATTTACTTACTCATGTTGCTGTCTTTTTTGCCAACCTGATATGGCGATGACCTGAACTCTGAGGGCTCTTTGATGACTGTTTCGCGGGCTGTGTGATGACCTCAGTGCCTTGCGGTGACTGTGCTCCGTGACCTCTGTGATGACCTGTTACCGTCCGCGCGGCAGCAGGCGGCCGCTGCCCCCGCCCCGCCGCCGCCGCCGCCGCCCCTGGCGTTCGGCGCCGAGCCGGTGCGCACCCCGCGTGTCACCTGGTGGCAGGATGGCGGCCACGTGCGGCTCTGCGTCCACCTGAGCGACGCCCGACAGCCGCTGGTCGACATCCAGCCCACGCACTTCCACTTCAGGTATACGCGCTCGCAGATTCACACCGACCGACGGGTAACACTTTTTAACTGATTAATTCCTCCTAGGGCTTAGCTGTTATTATAAGAGGTGGAACCACCTTATCCTGGCTATGAGCGCTTTTCCATGTCATTTCTCTGCAAGACACGCTGTACCTGCGAGGATTGTATGTTAAGTTCATTGAATAACTTAGCGTAATCGTTTGTCGTAGCTCACCCTGGAAACTACGAAAGCTGCGTGCTCTGTCATTGAGGGTCTGTGTGTCTCTGTTCGGCAGCTGCGAGCAGGCCGGCTGTCGGTTTGTGGTGGCGATCGACCTGTTTAGCGCCGTGCGGCCGCAGGACAGCTTCTACCAGGTGCTCGGCGCGCACGTCCAGGTCAAACTGCGAAAGGAGAAAGGTGAGTTCCCGACACGGCAGGCTGTGTCTGGTGCGATGCACCGTCTGGCTCTGTGGCTGCCCTGTCTGTCTGCGTGTGTTTTGTATGTGCATCTGAGTGCAGTTGTTACCATGCGTGCTCGGTGCGTCGTTTTAGTGTCTGTGTATACTCCTCTGCATATGTAGACCTTGCTGTTCGTATTTACCTGGTTTGTCTGTGTGCTTGTGTCTGCGTGCTTAGTTCCATGTGTCTATCCATCTCCCTGTATGTATGTAGTTATGTATGTCTGGTGAGGTCGTGCGGCTTGTCTAGCCTGTCGATCCGCTTCGTCTGACTGCCCGCGGCTGTGTTTGTCCGATATCCCGCGGCTGTGTGTCTGTCTGTCTCCCAGCCTACTTATTTGTGTCTGTATCTCTTTGTACCCGTCGTCCCGGTCCGTCTGACTGCTCACGGCTATGTGTCTGTATGTGCCCGCGGCTGTGTTTGTGTCTGTCTGTCTCCCGGCCTAACTGTTTGTGTCTGTATCTCTCTATACCCGTCAGCCTGTCTGACTGCCCGCGGCTGTGTGCCTGTCCGTGTAATTGTATGTTTGTCTCCCTACCTGTCTGTGTCTGTATCTCTCTGTACCCGTCGGCCCGTCTGACCGCCCGCGCCCGGTCGCCGCAGCGCTGAGCTGGCGCCGGCTGACGGCCGTGCCCGTCAAGGCCCGCTGGCTGCAGCACGACCTGGAACACCTGGCCGGAGGCGACTCCAGCTCCGACGAAACGTACCGTGAGTACTCACTACTGGCTGCAGCTGTGACTGAGCATACGCTGCCGCAGGGACTGGGGTCGGGTTTTACCAGCCCGGACTCTTCACCAGCATAAGAAATACCTTCAGACATCCTGAGCTTGTGCAGGGTGTTTAGACTAACAGTACTTGTACTTGACGGACGGTACTTAACGGTACTTGATTGAACTAACAGGGGTTTTCCATTATTTTGTGTCAATATGATAACCTGCTGCAGACAATTGTCATGTATGTAATTTGCTTGGAAAACGGCTGGTGAAATTTGCCGCTATTTCCTGGAGGATCCTCACCGCGCATCGGGGTTGTTGATTACAGTAGAGTTGTCCATTGCCTACTGCCTAGGGCACGGGCATCTGTCTGATTCCTTGCACCTCCCTTATCTGCCGTTCCTCGCCTGTCCGCCCCGCCTCCCCACCTCTGACTATCCCCGCCTAACCTGTTATCCGCCCCGCCTCTCCGTACCATTGACAGTGCCCTCTGTGTCCGCCCCGCCTGCCCACCACTGACTGTGCCCTGTCTGTGCCGCTGCAGTGCCGCTGGTCAGCCCGGCGCCGGCGCCACTGCCGCTGGAGGCACTCCGCCGCGGCCGGGCGCCGCAGCCAGAGCCGGCCGAGGGCGCCGCTGTCACCAGCAGTTCGGAGGACAGCGACGAGGACATGGAGCACGGCTTTGGCGGCGCGGCCGGCGCCAGCGACCTGAAGCTGCTCAACGACCCGGAGGCGGTCCGCGACCTGCTGCAGCCGGACCCGTGGGCCAGCGGCGGCCTGTGACCCCCGCCGGCCGCGCGACTCTCTCAGGACAAGGCGACAGTTCGTTTTTGTACTGCTTTTTGTTTGTTTTGTGTGTGTTCGCTGCTCGATGAATGTCGCCGGCGCGTGTGTCGTCGACGGCGGACGTCAATTTGCCGTCAATGACCAATGATTGTGTAAATGCGTTACCGATGGTCGACCAGTCCCGCCGAATCGGCCGGTGGGGCGCCGCGTCAGCTCAGTTGCCTGCCGCTCGGCGCGGCCCCTCCAGTCTCCGGGTGCTCAGAATGTCGTTAATACAGGCCCTGTATTGGATCAAACGGACTTGGACCCTGGGTCCAAGTGCCAACCAACTACGCACTTCCGACGAGGGACCGTCGATCCGCATGAAGGAAAAGAGAGTGGGTAAAGTCCAGTACCTCATTGGTACTGGACCATCGAGCTAGCCCCAGGGATTTAATTGCCATGGTAGTTTTACGTAAGAACCCCACCCTCGTCGTTGGCACGTAGTTAACAGGTACAACGCAAGGCCATACTTCACAAAGTCCATTGAATCAGCATAAAGTGCTTCGGGTTTTTAACTGATAAACTAAACAGACGGAACGCAACCGATCGCTTCACAAGACGATACTTGCAATCCATTAGGTATATAAGCAACTGGAGACTTATCTTAGAAAAATAGATTGTATAATGCTTATGTGTAATATGTATTGACACAAGCATCGCTGAACACTCAGAGAGCGTGGACTGAGCAGAGCCGAGCGCCCGATTCCAGTGGGTGATGAATCCGGCGTCAGGTGATCACAACACGGTATAATACAACACAACGAATCAAACGGGACATTGTCTAATGTCCATACAAAAGCGCTGTACAGTATATGCAAAAAGGAATTTTTGTAATAAGGCTTTCTTTAAATCAACTATCAATTAACTGTGCGGAGTTGAAAAGGCGTAGCACTGAAAGATGTGTGTATTTACACTTCTCAGAAGACCAATAGTTTAATCTTTTCTCAGCAAGAATTTAGAGGTGTTTACCAAAACATTCCACTAAAAACATTCATGATCTCTCCACAAACAGCGTAAGCGAGATATCATTCAGCTTGATATACGTACAATGATACCGGATAGCGCAGGAAAGGCAAAGCTACTGCCAAAGTTGGGTCAGAGGTATAGCACTGGCCGTTAGAACTACATAACAATGCACAAAGGCCCACTCGGCGTACTACACAAGTACGGACCCACCTCGTTGCCTCATCGGTAGCGCTGTCTACATGACGAACAAACACGTAATGAAATATAGCATGTCGGTAGGACTATTGGTTTACGCAAAGATGAAACAATTATTCGACTGTGATCGTGAGCATATCGGGTGCCGTTTAAAACGTTGCAATTCTTAACACGCGTAGTGGAAGGGTTGCGACTTGCGAGTACTACGCCCAGTGGAAGGGGCATATTTACGTCTGGACAACGAGTTGCGTTGGAGAGGCCGGAAATAGTGGCGATTTCAGGACCGCAAGAATGGACCTTCATTGGAATGATTCTTTTTTAAACCGTGGACTGTTTTCGGCCGGGATTTAATAGTTACTACAAAATATTTTGTAATTACGTTTTTACCAAGAATGAATGCCATCAGGGCTAAATTTTTACTTCTATTGCATTTTGTCAAGAAGCATATAGTGCTGTTATATTGCAGTTTTAGCGCGTTTGTTACAAAATATGAAGCGAATAAGTGTCAGTGTAATTCATCAATGCCAGAACAAGAAGTTAACTTGAGGGGAAGCTATGCTAATTGCTCTTGTCCATCCACTAAAATTTATTAAATATTTTGCTATGTGTATTCGAAAAGGAGATTTCATTTGTGCCTTCATGTCAGAATTGAAGGTGGATCATTAAATTTTCAACGCAGTTTACAAACAAGCATTTGGTCTCTCATATATTGATTTAAGCAGTGGCTAAGAAAAGGTTGATCAATCCTGAAGATTCAGTCATCGTACCTCAACTTGGCAGCAAGATCCCCCAAGGACAGAGGATACATATATTGTATACATGTCCTGTAAATCAAAACAAACAAGCATTTGGTCTTTCTCACATATAAGCAGTGGCTAAGAAAAGGTTGATCAATCCTGAAGTTAAGTCATCGTACCTCAACTTGGCAGCAAGATCCCCCAAGGACAGAAGATATATTGTATACCTGTCCTGTTAATCAAAACATTTTTGTGCCTGCAAAGGCTTAAGTTATCTGTGGTGTGTTCGGAGTTAGGCCATATGGCCGTTTTTGTTGTATGTTTATGTGGAGATTGAATATAACTGTGACCCTGTGCTTGTTTGTATACTTACTATGGTCAAACAGGGAACAGCACATTCACATAACATACTCACCTAGCACCTAACTCATAGCTGTACCCTGCAGGATCTGTACTTGTTCATGTCTTGAGCATTAACAAAGCACTAAAGTAGCTTAGTAATCATTTCCCACATTTTCTGAGCATCTAACATGACATACAGCAGTGCAGAGCAGCTTCAGAGAAGAAACACTTTAAATGCACAGACTCACACCAGCCACCCAATGAGCCAGTTCCTCAGTTGACTGTTTCCCTGGATGCAGCTTGGCAATGTGAGCTAACTTTTGGCAAGTTGAAGGTTAGCAGGTAAGATTGAGTTAGGGTGAGTACCTACCTATAACTGAGTGCTACTGCTATGCAGGTCTTGGGTAGGCTGCAAATATGTGTGATGATTGAGGTTAGGTCAGCTGTCAGGTTAGTCAGGAGTATGCTCATTGCTCAGGTCACATTTTTATGGACACTTGGCAAATTAAAAAACTAACAATCTAATCTAAGCTAACCCGACTAAACATACACAACTACCGACTATAGGAACTAAGCACCTACCTACTTGTGCGTGTGCCTACATCTCATACCATGTCAAAGTAGAGTTCCTTGGTGGAAGATTACCCTCAGTACTTTTTATCCCAGCCCTGTGAAGAAAACCAATACTTCTAAGCTCTGAGTCACTGCTGGCCATCCACAGGAAGAAACGCTGAGACTGAAAGCTTTGCCATTGTATATTGGACCAATAATCACTATCACAAATGACTATGAACACATTATATGATCACATCGTTGCATGGATTGTCACATTGACAATTCTACTACAATCCTTTTTTCAAGAAATACATTGATGATTAACATCAAAATCAACATAAAGTGGATTTAGTGATCCAAGCTTTCTCCTCCAGTAGCAATGGAATGATCGCATGTTTCATTTGTCAGACACTGAGTACCTGATGCACATTACAATCTGCATAGCATGAAGCATCTAAGCTGCCCAAGTCCATTCATTCTAGATTTTTAACTTGAAAGTTAGCACTAATTTATCTTGCTGTTGTAAGTTATCATTCAATATCCATACCAATACATCAATATGCGCTCATCAGTCAACATTTTCTGGCATGATCCTGCTCAGCGTGCTCTTCAGTAGGTATTGCTCCAAGGTCTGCAATATTATAGCTTGTTTTTGGCCAATAAGCTCTTTTAATTTTACTTTTTCTTGCTGATATATGAGCCCGATCACCTTGCGTTTATCAACCAAAATTTCATAACTTGTTCAACTTGATATTGATATTGCTCAGGAGTCAGGACCTCTGTCAGCCTCCTGGATACTTCGGATTGTTTTCAGTCAACATGCTTCTTAAATATGATATAAGTCAATATTCAAAACATCCAACAAAACGACGTACAAGAGTAAGAAAACCACCAGATAAACTAAAAAATGGCCTTGGAACAGAGCCAAGTGGTGCTCCATTTGTTTGTTTACAGTGATTGTAGTGCTGATGTATTTTTAGGACTCTGAACGTCGACTTATAAAAAATGAAACGTTTTTACAAAAGTTGTAAGGCAAGTAATATTTATCTGAAAGAACTAAAATATTCAAAAGCCAAACACTATGAAATACATGAATCGGAACGAAAAAGTAACCAAAAAATCCAGCCTAATCACCGGCTCCTAAAACTGCAACAAAATCAGCACTTTTCCCCGCAACTCGTTGTCCAGACGTAAATATGCGTGGAAGGGGGGGGGCGGATGTCGCCCCCCCCCCCCTAGGATCTCAGCTCCCACTGGAGCTAGAAAGACGAAATTTGGAGGGTAGGTGTAGGCCTTGGGGAACTCTGTTGTGTGTGAATTTCATGACCCTAGGTCAATATCTTCAAGGTCAAATGAGGTCAAATGTGGTCAAATCTGCCATATTAGCGACTTTTTTTGCGCTTACACGCCGATAACTCAAAAAGTTACCGGCCGATTTTCTTTTGTCTTTCACTATACGAAAGAACGTACATTTGTGAGTATGTATGGTGAATTTCTAGTTAATCCAACAATAAATATGGCAGCTAGAAGCCTGCTAAGTGCTAAGAGTAAGATATCGCCGGCTGAAGCGGGATCGGCCGACGCGGGAAACGCGGCAATCACAATTTTGTGTTTACACACTCATAACTCAAGTTGTTACCGGCCGATTTTCAAAATTCTTTGACCATGAGATTGCCTGTACATTTCTTAGTCTTTTCACAAAATTTTACGCGAATCGAATATAATCAGCGGTAAGGAGCGCGATGTAAAGACGGAACCGTCCCGCCGCGGCACAGTCTACAATTCAGGCGGCGCGTAACGGCTAGCGCCGGCCGCCGCGCCGCCGCGGCGGCAGGATGTTTGACTTTACACCGCTGTTACTAAAAAAGTTGTGAACCGATTTTCTTATTTCTTGCACGAGAAGATCCGCAATTCAATTCTGGACAGGTAGCCAAAATTTCACATTAATATCATGTTTGCGGCGCGAGTTATTGGCGAAAAACAGGAGGGGTGGGCGAAATCCGCCCCCCCTTCCACTGCGCGTGTTAAGTCAATAAAACATCGATATGGCAACTCATCAAAAAGTTACATGTCACTGCAAACCATGCATTCCTATTGCTGAAACAAAACCCTATTGGTACACAGCTGGTACTATTATCATTCAGAAAAAAAAATACTATTTAGCAACTTGTTTGAAGAGCTGACAGCGAAGGACAATGATTATTGCTTTCAAATTAAACATTTTTAAACGGCATAGTCACGTCTGCATCAACAGATTCATCGATTATCACATGGACCCAGACTACCATTCACACATTGTTCGAGCACTCGACATGTGACTGAGTAGGCGATGGACGCTGCAGCCTGTCCTGTTTGGCCTCGCACGCGGAGGGTCCTCTCCACTGAGACAGCCACAGCCACGGACCTGGATCACCACACACTCGTGGTGGGGGTGACCAGGGATCAGTGCTGGGACCACTTGATGGACTTGAGGTCGATACCGTCCTGCACCATTTCCCACAGCGGGCTGGAACACACCGCGGGGAGGGGCAAACGTGAGTCACTGGTGGTAATGGAGGCTGTGGCGGAATCCAGGGAACAGTGAGGGTGAGGGGAGAGCCATTTAGTGATCAGGGAACCGTACTGAGGGAGATGTGGTGGTTCAGCAGGCGGCGACTCTGAAGCGCCAATCCCGCCAACCCCATACACGACTTAAAGGTTAAACGTAACTAACATCCTTCGGGGTACTAACCACATCCTTCGACAGCCCCAGTTCCACACACATTGACCAGTCCTTCACTGCCACAGGCCACCAGTCTCTGCCTCTCACTCACCTCATGTCTCGCAGTCTGCGCACCTCCTGGATACACTTGTCGGCCGTGTAGTCAATCTCCTCCTCCGTGGTGAACCGACCGATCCCGAACCTGCCGACAGCCGCTGTCGGCGTCAGTGTCACGGTCTTACATGCTTAAAGACGGTCACACAAGGGAAGGAGCCAGGACCACGGTCTTCGTAACATAGTCAGAGACGAACCCGAGTTCCGCGGGTCCACACACAAGGTGAGAGCTTTGTGGCAGCTCTCAGAATCCAGAGGATATTCGGGAGAGGGGGCACGATTACTAGCTCGAGGTGATAAGATCAAGTTGAGCAGCTGTTCCTCCTGCCATCACCCTACCTCACCACTGATAAGAGAAGTTCGGTAAGCAGCAATAGGGCGCTTGGTACCACGATTCTGTGGGTGATGACCGTCCAGAACCGATTGTGAACAGTAGACCCGACGGCCGCCCACCGGCTGGACCAGCGCCTCTATAGCAACTGTCCTCACCTGATATTCGAGTGCGCGCCTATACAGCAGCCGTCCTCACCTGATATTTATAGAGCGGGCCCTCTGACCTCTACAGCAGCTACCCTCACCTGATACTCGAGTGAGCGAGGTCCTCGTCAGCGCCGATAGCACGCAGTACATAGCTGGGCTCCAGCGAGGCGCTGGTGCACGCGCTGCCAGAGGACAGCGCCACGTCTTTGAGCGCCATCAGCAGGCTCTCCCCTGCGGCAGGGGGGCAGAGGGCGGAGGTACGTCACAGCGGAGCGGCGATGGCACACAGTGCAGCGCACGGGCCATCACGTAACGCAGGCGCACAGACTATCACAGTTCACACATGCCATCACGAGGTGCAAGCCGATAACATAGCGCGCATTATCCATGCTAATGTGCATTGTGCATATTCAAGATACTATAAAGAACAGACGTATTACGCTTGTTGAATTTTTAGCACTTCATGTCGTTTGCATTTTGAACCCCCACCCCACCCCCGTATCTCCCCAGTCCGACCAGTGCCAACCGGTGCCAGCCGTAGCCCCGGCTGTCAGACATCCACTCACCCTCCACGTAGGCGAAGGAGAGGTTCACGCAGCCCGGGTACGTGTGCCGGTCGTCGCCGTTCCGAATCACGTCTGGCAGCTCGCGCCGGATCCGCTCCACCAGCCGGTCAGAGAGCTCCCGCACACGCCGGTCGTCGTACTGACGTCAGAACGAGGGGGGGGGGGGGGCGTCAGACTAAGGTACGGATGTAACGAGGGGGGGGGGTGTTAGACATAGAGAGACGGGCGTCACAGAGGAAGGGACGGAAGAAAGAGGATAGGAACGGCAGTGAAACGAGGGGGACAACTATGAAGGGATGATAAAAACAGTTTCTACAGAGGGAAAGACATAAGACAGTCGGACGACCTTACTTTAGAGTCTTGGACAGTACAACTGTACTGTGGTTACGACGAAGGGGTAAGGAACAATCTCGTGGCAAGCGGTGCAACGTCTGTACACAGTACACATTTTGATCATTGCCTAATTCAAAGGCCGAGGCAGCTTTCAGTTTCAGTTTTCAGTCGTAGGTAGCGGATTATAGAGCGCCTAGGCTGAGCGTATTTTACAGAGCTCCTAACTACCAACATTATAGGCTAAGGGACGCCCACTGCCCAGTGCATGCGTTATGCAATTATTAAGATTTCTATAGGCTATGTGTCACGGGCCGCATAAAGGTTGCGAAAGCCTTTTCCAGAGCGACGCCAGCGTGGGTAATTCACAGAACCCCTATCGGCTGGGAGGGGTATGTGGAGCCACAATGTGAAATGTCGATATGTAACATCAAAGACAGCAGCTGCAGCGGAAGAGGGGAAGGAAGAGATGGCGACGGGAGGAGGGAGAGAGGGGGAGAGGATGAGAGGGCCGCACGGAAGCTCTGCGCCGGAGACGGAGCAGTGGTGCACAGGGCAGCGGCGGTGTGGGACCGGCCGTGCGGCACACAGGGATCTCTGTCATGTCGGCACGTTCAGTGGTAACAGGTAAGAGGGCAATGATCTGCACCGCACACTTGAACCGATTGAACGGTTTCACCGACTGGGCTGGCTGGACTGGGTTTCACAGATGGATCTGATCAAGCCACAGACGGGAAAACAGGTCGATCTGACCGAAAGTGGCCGATCTGAGTTTGTCTGTTTGGTTATTGGGGCTTTAGGGCGCGCCGACTACAAGTTCATTTTGCGCCCATAAAGTGACCGATCTGACAGGAAAACACACAGACCTGACCGAGCCACAGGTCGAAATAAGGGTCAATGACTGAGATACTCGTACAGACCCGGACGCCTGCGGTCCCCCCGTGCCGTCGTCCTTGGCAGTGGAGAACAGCCATCTGACGTAGGGACAGAATACCAGACTTTTACATAGGCGACCCAGCATCGGTTTCATGTGCAGACATACAGACAAGTCTACCGGTCTTCGTACAATAACTTTTGAAAAAGAATGAGACCTCCTATTGGCGCTGGTCGTCGGACCCTCAGCGGCCATGGTATTTGGTCGGTTTCAAAAACCAAATTTGGTTGGTAAAAATCACACTACCCCGTCCACACCCTGCGCCCGTTTTGACTCCGTTGTTATGCTTTTCAGCGGCGCTGTTGTTTGCGCTGGCGCTGGGTGCTCTCGGCCAGCGCGCTGCCCTGGAGGTGACACCGCGCTGCTCGCGCCCCTTCGCCCCTCCGGCGCCGTCCTGTTTCTGCAGCACCAGCAGCGCCGGCCACTGGACAGTGACGTGCGGCTGTCCCGACGATACCTTCCCGGCCGGACAGGTGAGCCCCACAGGGACAGGTGAGCCCGCAGGGACAGGTGCACCGCGGACGGCAGGGACAGGTGGTAAGGCTGTGTGGGGTGACAGGGCCAGGGAGGATTGGAGGCTTTGAAAGTGCTGCAGTATCTCCCGCTGCCATTAGCAGCAGCTAGGATTCGACACAGGACACATAGGACACAGGATATTTTTTCGACGTCCTTGCAGCATTGCTGGAAAAAATCACCCTTAAAATAATCCTTAAAAAAAATCACCCATCCTCACAATCAAGGGCGCACACAAGGGGGGGGGGGCACACGGGCCCGTGCCCCCCCCCCCATTCGAGTTGGGGGGCCCAACTCGAAGGAAGAGGCCCATTTGAGGCGGCCGAAGGCCGCCTCAAATGGGCCTCTAACTAATCCTTAGACCACCGAAGACCGTGTACAACGGGCCCTCAAATGGCCTTAAAGGGCCCTCAGATGGTCTCAAAAGGCCCTCAGATGGCCTCGAAGGGCCCTCAGTTAGCGTCATAGGGCCCTCATCTGGTGTCAAAGGGCCCTTAGATGGTGTCAAAGGGCCCTCAGATGGCCTTAAGGAGCCCTCAGATGACCTCAAAGGACTCTCAGATGGCCTTAAAGGGCCCTCAGATAGCCTCAAAGGGCCCTCGGCTAACGTCAAACGGACGTCAGAAGGCCTTAAAGGGTGTCAAAGGTCCCTGAGCTGGCGTCATAGGGCCATGCCCTTGCGTCAAATGGCTCTCCGAAGGCTCTAAAGGGTCCTTAGCTGGTGACAGAGGGCCCCCAGCTGGTGCCAGATGGCCCCCAGCTGGCGCCAAATGGCCATCAGAAGGCCTCAAACGGTCCTCAGTTGGCGTCAAGCGACCCTCAAAAAGCCTCAAGGGGCCCTAAGAAGATCTCAAGGGGCCCTCAGAAGGCCTTAAAGAGCGTCAAAGGGCCTTGAGCTAGCGTCAGAGGGCCCCCCAGCTAATGTCAGAGGGCCCTGAGCTAGCGTCAAACTTAAAGTGCCCTTAGCTGGTGTTCGGCCGATTGCTAAAATCGGTACCTCCGAGAGTGAGGTCTCATTATGATGTCATTCACGAGAATGTTTAAATAAAGAAATAGCGGCTGGGTCTTGGCCAGGGGGAGGCACTCGCCTTGGCCGTATATGGGCCAGAATGTCTAACGATTTCCGCCATGTTGTGTATACCAAAGTCTTGAAAAGTTGATCACTGCAATCAAACTGCAAGCATGAAGCAGCAGCACTTTTGAGTAGTGTACCTCTCACTAAACTGCACCTCTGCTACCGTACATGCAATTTATATGTCTGGTATACACAACATGGCGGAAGTCGATAGACAAAAACAAGTCACCAATGCTCCTTCCAGTATATATTAGAGTTCAGTGGTCTTGGCCCAGTTTTGCTGGCGGAACTGATCAAATAATATGTGTTTTGCCTAGCTCAATATAAGAATTAATTTAATATTAATTCCGACTTAATGCGCATAGCTGCCGCTAGCGTATTGCCGCCGCCGCCGCCGCCGTCGCCTAAACAAATGGTCCTCCGGGCCGGATCTCGATAAGACCAGCCAAGAACGAAATAGCACCATGGAAGCCAGGTTGCAAAAGCAAGTAAGAGCCAAGAAAGCAATGTTAACTAGAAGTTTAACAGAACTAGACGCTCGATCATAGAAGAAAAGAGCAGGGAAGAAGTAAAAGTCTACTTAGACAGCGTGAAGCAAAAGAAAGCCACACTGACAGAGAGCTATGAAAAGCTCTTAGCGGAGGTGAGTGAAGAGACACTGGAGACGGAGCTCGAATCGTGGGCTCAGTTAGAGGCACTGGAGAGGTCCAGTTTAGGGCGGGCTCAAAACTATCTGAAAAGTTCGCAGCCTTCTGTTGTCCTTCCCAATCTCGAGCCCGTTAAGATGCTACCTTTTGATGGAGATCCTTGCGCATACCCTGAATTTATCGCCGCATTTAAAGTCTTGGTAGCCAATAACCCGAACATGTCGGCAATGGAGAAGATGCTCCGTCTAAAAGACAAGCTCCGTGGCGCTGCTCTAAACGCCATCGGTGGTCTGGCCTTCTCCGAGGCAGACTATGTCTCGGCCCTCTTGATTTTGGAGCGGCGCTTCGGCGGCAGAGATCGCCTGATCCAAGACAGCCTCAAGCGCCTCCGAGCACTGCAAGGCCTGTCCAGCAGTGGATCGGCACACGGCCTTAGAGAGTTTGCAGATGCGGTTACATCATCCTTGAACAAATTACGCAACATCGGGGATACAAGCAACATTTATTCCGATACCCTTCTCAGAGAAGTAGTGGCTAAGCTGTCTTCCAAAGACCGAGATGCATTCTTCGAGATGTGTGTCTCCTCCGAACAGGCCTGTAATCTGGTGACACTGGAGCCGTGGTTGCAGCGCCGGGCCGAAGCCAGTCTGCTAAGCGAGACTTACAGGAAGTCACAGCCGACAGCCGACAGCCGACGGAGTGATGAAGCGGTCGGACGAACCAATCAGAGCCCTCGGAAACGCACGTTCGCCGTCAAAATAAGCGCTAGTTGCAGCATATGCAAGAATGGAGATCATCAGCTGGAGAAGTGCAAGGTCTTCCTGGATCAAGATATGGAAGGACGCTGGAGCATTGCTAAAGAGAGCAAACTTTGCTTCTCGTGTCTAAAAAGAAGTCATCGTTCCGCTGACTGTCGTCAAAGCCGCCGCTGTGGGTGCGGAAGGCCGCATCACCCGCTCCTCTGTGACGAACGGCAGATCGGTGACGCCACGACACCATCTCGAACGGCAGCCGGCACACTGGGCGGCATACAGGGGGGTACTTTTAACGCCGTAGCACTGCGGACCTTACCGGTACGGATAAAGCACCATGGTAAAGAAATGGTGGTGAACGCCTTCCTTGACGGTGGCTCAGACACCACTTACCTTTCTGAAGACGTTGCTCGAGCCTTAGGAGCGCAGTGGGACCCAAGGAGCATCAACATTACAACTCTGGGAGGAAATGTGATGCAGCAGAGCACTACTGAAGTAGGGCTAGAGCTAGGACCCGCAGGACAGGACGATTTCGTCGGAGTGGTCCAGGCCTGGACTATTCCAGTTGTGTGTGGCGGGATGAAGGTGACGAACTGGGCGAACGAAAAAAGAAGATGGACTCACCTCAGCCAGATTCCATTCATGGAGCCGCCCATCCCGAATGTTGTCGAGTTACTCATCGGCAGTGATTACCCCGAGCTGCACCACGTACTCGAGAGGCGAAGCGGGCCTTCTCAGTCGCCAGTCGCAGAGCTAACGCCTCTGGGCTGGGTCTGTGTTGGCCCGGTCGGGTCAGCTGACGTTATGAACCGTGTAACAGCCCGCGCCTCAGCAGTAGAAGAAAGCCCTGAAATTGTGCTGAGAAGCTTTTTGGAAGTAGACGATGCTACAGTGAGTGGGAACGAAACAGAGCGAAACAAGATCCTGTCACCAGAAGAGCAAACCGCTGACAAGAAAGCGGACCAGCCGCTTCGTTTTGATGGGTACCGGTACAAAATCGGCATACCGTGGAAAGGAGATGGACCCACTCTGCCGGACAACAGAAAAGCGGCGCTCGCTCGTATCGGCTCGCTGGAGAAAAGCCCCGAGTGTAAACCGAACATGATCAAAAAGTATAAAGAGAAAAAGAGAGAAAGTTTGGGGAAAGGTTATGAGAGGTTGGTGGAAGGAAAGGAGAACGATTGCAATGGACCCGCCTGGCCTCATTTCCCCGTCGTGAGAGGAGTCAGGCAGACGAACATTGAAACGATCATAACGATCCTAACGATCGTCATCGTAAGCATCGTAACGAATTCTGCTGCCCAACTCAACAGTAGCAGCCTTAACTCGAAGACATGTTCAAGTCAGTCCAGACATGTTTCGGGACTGAAGAATCCTGCTGGTGAAGACGACTGCTCAAGTGGCCTCAGCGTCAGAGGAATGAAAGCTGAAAATCGCTGGATAAACGGCCCAGCTTCTCTGCATCGGCCATCGGAGGGCTGGCTCAAAACACCAGTCTTTTCTGCCTCCGAAGACGCCAAGAAAGAAGAGAAGAAGGTGGTTATGTCGTCCTCAGCGAAGTCTGCCGAGCCCCTCCTCCAGGCTCCAGCCAGGCGCCTCCTCGAGCTGGAGTCACCTGACAGCCGTCACCGCTTGGGTCCAAAGATTCGCGCGGAACTGCCGCACTGCAAAAGCCAACCGCTTGAAAGGACAACTGACGGCTCTGGAACTTGAGAAGGCACAGAAACTCCGGCTAAAGCACGCACGAAAAGAAGACTTCGGCGAGGCAAAGACGTCCCTTGCAGCAAAACGAGATCTCCACAATTACAGCAAACTAAGTGAGCTGCTGCCACTCATGTCAGAGTCTGGTGTCATGACCATGGGAGGAAGATTGCAGAAGGCGGACCGGCCTGTCCTAGCAGAGATCGAAAGCCTTCTGAACTCGCCTCCGCTTACGTATCCGAGCTCCGATCCGAGGGTCGACAGTTCCCTGGCACCAAATCACCTTCTGGTCGGTCAAATAGACAGTGCCTTGGCTTCTCAGCTACAGGAAAAGAAGCTGCTTTTCCAAGACGGAGATGGCGCCACACTCAGAGAGTTTTCAGCAAGACATGGAAGAGATTTCTGCGAGAGATGCTCCTCCAATCTCAACATACTGCACAAGCGGTACGACGTAAGGCCAGATTTCAAAGATGGTAACGTGGTGCTGGTGCTGGACACCACGAGCCCCGCGGACACTTACCTCGGGCACGGGTGGAGCGGACTCATCCCGGCCGCGATGGACATGTGCGGACTGTGGAGGTCAGAATCGTTACCGCACTTACGCCCGGCTCATCATGCGCCTCTGCCCCCTACGGCGGAGTAATGACTAGTGTGTGATCTGACTAGAGTGTGATGTGAAGGTGACTGTGACTGTGTGATAGCTAGGTGGAGCATACGTTGCTCCACGGGGAGGGAGGATGTTCGGCCGATTGCTAAAATCGGTACCTCCGAGAGTGAGGTCTCAT